ATAATATTTGTTTAATGAGCCGATTTTCCCGTTTTTCCTACGTTTTACTCGTGTTTTTTCCTGGGTTTCCACATTTGAATTACAAATTTGTATACACGATGTTTTCTACCAAAAATATTGTTCCAATGAAAAAAAAAATGGTAAAAGAACGATTTCATTTCTTTTAGCATAATTCCGTTGAAAGAGAAAGTCGTTTTTTAATATCTAAGGTATTTCTTATAATAATTGGGAAAAACCAAAAACGAAGAAAAACTCGATTTTCTTTAAAATTTGGCACAAAGATTTCATATTTACAATTTGTACGGTTAATATTTTTCCTACATAAATATAGTTCCAATAGAAAAATGACCTGATTGTTGAATTTTTATATTCTGAGTGGGAGCGAGAAAGATTTTGTGTTCTACAAAGATGTTTTTTTTGCTCTGATTTTTCAGTGTAGCACTTTTTCTGAATGGAAATCGGTGTGGGGAGGTACTTTAAAAAGGTATTTTTCGATTTATCAGGAATTTTCTTATTAAATGTGAAAAACCGAAAAAAAAATTAAGAAAAATGGGAAAATGTACCAAATGTTGGTATTAGTTATAATATAATATTTCGGCATTTTGTTTGCCTGTAAATGACTTTTTTTATCAGAAATTTTGCTACGATCTACAATGATATTATTTTTTCTAAAAGGAAAAATTTTTTCAGAAGGTACATTAAGGAGGTAATTTTTCGAATTTCCTAAGATTTTTCCCAGGAAATGTGAAAAACCGGGAAAAACATCGGAAAAACGTAGAAAAAACGAGAAAATCGATACAGCATTAAATAAATATTATTAAAAAAAATATATAATGCCTATTTTATTATTTTACTTTAAAATGACATATATATTGTTGACAAAGCATCACTGTTAACTAAACTACACGGAATTTTTTTTTCATTAGCAATGGGTTTATACTTGCTTACAAGTATATATTAATAATAGCTACAACAGTAGCTGCACCTATTTCCATTATCCTAGGACAGGTTTTTAATCTTGTTAATGGGTAAGAAAGTCGTTTTTTTGATTAGTTTTGTAGTTCCTTTAATAATTGAGCAAAATCGAAAAAGCAACGTAGAAAGAACGGAAAAATTTACAAAAATAGTTCTTTTATTATTTTCAATTGTGTTTATTTATTGTAATTCATTTAAAAATATTCCTAGACAATTGACACTTTAACAGAAAACTTATATTTGCTTTTTGCTCAATGTTTTTTCAAAAAAAAAATAAACTGAGCGTAATATAATGAATGACTGACTATACGCGTCCTTTTTATTAAACCGGTTCTTACCAGTGGCACTGGTACCCAAAAAAGAAAAAAAAAATTGTTTTTTTAACCGTTAACCGGTAACATAAAATCGTTTGTACCTATAAATGACTAGTTATCGGTAACCATCATAATAAAAATGAATGGTAAGCGTTAATCGGGTCTGAAACGGTTTTCAGAATACCGATAGTTATTTTAGTAGCGGTTTTAGGATTTGATTTAAACCTTAATTTGTTAATTTTACCACTGCATATAACCTAAACTAGCTTAACATAATCTGGCGAATCTGTGGAACGCCATAAAACATTTACCTTAAAAAAAATATGAATCGTATTTCAACATTTTTGTATAGGGAATTCGAAGAAACATTTACAAATTTGTAAAAATAAGAAAAATCGTATATAAATTTAAAAGATAATCTTTTTCATGATTTCGGTAGTAAGAATAACATTACACAACGTATTAAAGACTTGTAAGTTGAAGAAGAAATAATATTGAAAAGAAAATACTATCTATGAATTCTAATATTGAAGATCAATATAAATTAATAAATGACCCGAATCAATGTAATTTTTTTTCTATCTGCATCAATGATAGTATAAATACAGCATCATTTGCGCGTCTGTCCATAATTTCTAGATTTAATTGGTAGATTTAAATATCTATTTTATAAAAAAAAACAAACGAACGCATAAAATGTGTATATTTATTAGTTATTTGTTTAATTTTTAGAAATAATAATATATATATATTTGACATGTGAGCATATTTTAAATATTTTTATTTCAAATGTTGGCACTCGACTTGAAAAAAGTTCGCTGTCCCTACCGTGTAACATTATTTTAATGAGGTTTTGAGATTTAAAAATTTTAAATGTAAGCAATATTTTATTTTGTTTCATTCATACAGTTACTGCTTTCTAGCGTGTTATTTTGTAACTAAATTCTGTGTTTCAAAATAAACAGCCAGTGACTATCCGCAGAATAACAATATTATAATTTAATACTTGGTTTAAGCTGATCTCGTACTATCGTATCGCAGCAAATAAGCTTAAGTGAAGTATTTCAACTTTGGGAAATTAAAATTTTTACTTCAAAATTAATTTAAAACTAAAAATTAATTTATTAATAGAATTTTGTAATTTAGATTGTCATTTAAAAATCAAAACGTGGTGATATTGTGTCACTCCCGACTTAATTTAGTCGGTATTTAGTTTACCTTTTTGGAAACAAAATTAAAGGTAATTAAAAAAATTTTAAATTCCAAAAACAATTTTAACTTTTCAAGATAATAAGTGTTTCAAGTTTTATTGGTCACTCTATGTTATATAACCTTACAAAGATACTTAATATAAATGTCAAAATACTAATTTGATATTAGTTTTAAAATGTATTTTATGACGTTCGTGAATTTGTTATGATTACCATGTCATGATAAATATACCAAAATTTTGCAACATACTGCAACTAATTTGCAACTTTAGGCAACCGGTAAAAAAAAATTTGCAACTTTATATTTTTGTCCTGATCGCTAAACTAAAATTGGTGGGGCCAAATTCACGTGGCCTCACCAACCTCACCACATCGTCGTATCGACCTCGAACCTTTTTCATAATTTAGCAACTAATTTGCAACTTTAGGCAACCTTCGTGAAAAAAATTGCAACCTCGTGGTTACGCCGGAAACGAATTCCTAAGTTGGTGGGGCCAAATTCACATAGCCCCACCACATCGTCGTATCGATTTTGAATTTTAGGGCCAATATTTTAATTTTTTCGGAATTGATTTTATTTCATACTAATATATTATTTTAAATTATAATTATAGTTCTGTAGTTTCACTTTTATATATAAAGATTACCTGGTGATATAAAAAAAGGTACCATAGGTACTACCATGTGCATATTGTAATATTTAGTAGGTACATTTTTGTATCTGATACGCAAATCATAATTAAACAGATATTTTATTTTGTTTTGAACTATAATTATAATTTAAAATAATATATTAGTATGAAATAAAATCAATTCCGAAAAAATTAAAATATTGGCCCTAAAAATTCAAAATCGATACGACGATGTGGTGGGGCTATGTGAATTTGGCCCCACCAACTTAGGAATTCGCTTCCGGCGTAACCACGAGGTTGCAATTTTTTTCACGAAGGTTGCCTAAAGTTGCAAATTAGTTGCTAAATTATGAAAAAGGTTCGAGGTCGATACGACGATGTGGTGAGGCCACGTGAATTTGGCCTCACCAATTTTAGTTTAGCGATCAGGACAAATATATAAGGTTGCAAATTTTTTTTTACCGGTTGCCTAAAGTTGCAAATTAGTTGCAAAATGTTGCAAAATTTTGGTGTATTTATCATAACATGGTGGGGCCAAATTCACGAACGTTATTTTATGTACTCCTTTGCAGTGGCATGCCAGAGATTTTTAATGAGAGGGTAAATAGTAAACAATTATCATATTCATGAATAAATTGTAGTATGATCTTTGTGACGATTCCTTTGTATTAAATCTCATCTCCTTTAAAATCAATCGTCATAATATCCGTAACGAGGATCACTTTTTTATTCCACATTATTCTAAAATCTAAATCACTAATGTTTCACTCTCCTATTTTTATAATAGTTATTTAATAAAAATGGTTTTTCACTTTGTTTTTATCTTTTATACTTCTTTTCTAATCCTCATTTCTGTTGCTTATAATACATTTTTCTTTTGTGCTTCAGATGTATATCGACCAATCGATTTCCATTTGGAGGGCATAACTGTCGACGATGCAGTATTCAAAAAAAAAATCAAAGAAGATACGTATGTTTTATATATGCCTATTATATCTGTCTTACCTATGTCTTATTGTATTGTTTTATAATATCGTATGTTTTACGCATGTCTTATATGATCCATGAACTGAAGTGTACACAATATTGATTTTTTCATCGGCAATTTAAATTAAACATTTTCTCTACAATGACGACAAAAATATACACACACTCACAGAATACATAATAAGAATTTACCCATGACAACTTAGTTAACTAATAATATTTGTTTTTACGTGCGTATGTTACCAAGGTAGCCCATAAATAAAAAAAAAATTATTTCGAAAATTATCTTCGAACCAAAAGTACCTAAAACCTAGTTTTTGTCAGTGATAATGAAGGTATCGAAGAATTGCATAGATGTACTGTGTCAGAAACCTTCAGGTATACTCAACAGCATTCCAAAGTTTCATGATGATCAGTTGAACGATTTAGGAAGGCAGAAAAGACGTACAAACTTTAATTTTTATATGTGTATGGATTATGTATGGATTATCTGCAGGAAATACATTAAGTAACAGTAACTTATTTCCTTAGCTTTATATTTGACTATTATTATTGTATCCAATTACGTTAAATGTCATACACTGTATTTTGGATATGTATTTAATACATAATTAATACTTTAAGGTATTTCTTTTATATTTTAGCATACTTAAACTCGTTGTAAATTAAATTCACGCATGTTACTATATTTAAATCAATTTAAATTTAAAATGTATTAGTAGGATTTTTTTTTTTCAATTTTCAAGTTAAATATTTGTCAATTGGTCATCGACTATAAATCAAATAATGAATTCGTTTCAAAATGTATTATATTAAAATAATATGTTTAATTCTATACTAAATTCAAATCCATTACTTACATTATATTCTAATGGATTATCCCTACTTAATAATTACTGAAATCGTATATAAAAAAAAAAATTATAATAATAGGGCTAAAAGTTTTTAAATTGAATAAAAAACCAATATTATATAACAATATAAATAATTGCATTAAATTGCTATAATATCAATAACATAAAAAAAATATAATGACTAAGTATTAAGAAACCATTATTTTATTCAAACGATTTTCATCTTCCATGTATTTTGTAGCAACCTACAAATGTATAAACACAGACATTAGACAATAGTATAAGTACTGTACTAAAACATTATACTAGTATTATATTGATTGTATAATGAATTGTTCAAAGTGCAAATGTCTCTATAATAACTGAATAATAACTCTATATAACTTAGGAAAATTGGGAAAATAGGGGCAATGTTAAACAGATATTATTAAAGAAAATATATAATGCCGATGTCATTATTTCACCATAATATGGTATGTATATTTTTGGCATAGCATCGCTATCAACTGAACTCCGCTCAGAATCGTTTTGTCATTAGCAATAGTTTATCGTTGCTTACATATGTACATTAAATTTTCCCTCTACTAGCTCCCCAATCACTCACCTACAACAGTGGCCCAAAAACGTGCGAAGCATGTCCGTCTTTTTTAAATTAAACTTATTATGAAATTAAACTAAAAAATAATTTTTGTGTTAATCTAAAAATTAGGTAAAATATATACCTGGCTGTTTAATTGGGCGTAGGCCCCATTTTAGTCCTGAGCCTATTTCCGGGTTGATTAAATCAAAGGGTACACTAAAATCTATAAAAAAAATTAACGGCTATCCTCCTAATAAGGTGTTCACTTGAAACCAAACGCAGGTTATACTACCTATAATACCATGAACAGCAAACGAAACTTGCAGTGTCATCTCGAATAGTAGAATTGAAAGGGCATTGCTAACAATCATGTGTTTACTCCCATATAATGTATTAAATTCGCTTAAAAATATTTTGCTAATAAATTACACTAATGCGAATTCATCTAAAAAAAAATAAGAATCATTTAACGTTACCCAGAGGATATTTAAACATTGAAATAAAACTGCACTTTGCTTTTCATGGAGATTAACGGTTAATTTTATTTTTATTGATGCAGACAGTTAACACTATATTATTTATTCAATATAAAATATATTGTTATGATTTACATTACTTGATGAAATTAAATTTGAATGTTTTAATACTTTTATAAAAGCTAAACATTTTTTAATACGACAACCCGACGTCTTTTCAAAAGTTTAATCTAATATACGTTAAAAATAAAATGTATATATTTTATACACAGTTAGTATTTATAGTTTATGATTAAAATTTGCCATACTTAATTTTATTTGATATCAACTGGAACTATTTAAAATTATGAAGATTAATTACAGATTATTTAATAATATAATTTGGAGAAACATTATTTATACTTTTTACTTAAATGCTGATAATCAGATAATATGAAGCTACCTATTGTGTGGCAAAACCGTCGAGGCAGAAGCGCAAGGATACTACTTATATGAGTATGTAAACATGTTTTGTTAAATTGATATGTATACAATTTATTAACTATCTTACAATATGTTTTTAGAAATAAATGAAAATTAATATGTTATGTATTGAGTTATTATTTTACTTTGATCTAACGAAACAACTCAAAATACCTACTTGTATATAATTATATACCTAACTTGAATTTATCAAAATCAAATCAAAACTTTGAGTATTGTAAATATAATTTTATTTTTTTTTTTACAGTGTAAAACAACTATACAAATGCTACAAGTTCTCTGCCGTAATAATTATCAATAGAATAAAACATATTTAACGATATTCGATCTAGATTTAGAGACGATGTATAATATTCAACTGGATCTAGATTGGTTTATCATCGGTTATCTAAATCAGCGGTTCCCAAACTTTTTTCCGGTGAACTCAATTCAACTACGGTGCCCATGAATACCACGAAATTTCCTTTAAGAAACATTGTTGTCATTTAAAGTTAGAGCAAAATTGCTGGTGGAAAAGTTGTGCACAGGAAAAGAAATCGTAATATTTTACTAATCTATTTCATACATTTTCCCAATTTTTTCGGTTTTTCAAATTTTATGAGAAAATCGAAAAATTACCTCCTTAAAGTATCTCCCCATGCCAATTTTCTTTCAGAAAAAGTGATTTTAGTAGAAATCAAAGCAAGTCTTTTGGTAGAAAAGTTGCGAAGACTTTTAATACATTGAGTGTTAAGAGAATTTCTAGGGGAATAAAAAACAAATCGAATTGTCAAGTTTTTTAAGTTATCGCGACTCGACTGTATAAGTATTGACACCATAATTATTTTATAAAATATGGAATAACAATTTTTGTTATTAATTATATTTTAATTGGGATAATTGTAAACCTATTACCGTGTATATTTTTATTATTTTATATCATTTTTATTTAAACTAATACGATTTTACTCTACCTATGGGGAAAACCCGTATTTTAATGTACTTTAAAAAATCGGACTTGTTTTTAAGTTAGGTTAGGTTTTTTTTAGTATGATTTTTTACAAATACATAAACATTTTTGAAACTAATAATATTTGTGTTATAATCCAATTTCAATTTCCTAAAATAACGTAATTTATGCAATGCGTAGAAGTTAGTGGTACAGTTATACTCCACCTTCTTCTATATCTGTCATACTTATTGATAAATTAAATAACATTACGAAATATTGGTACCTAATACAATATAACAGATCTATGGACAACAGTGGTATGATATTGACCTACGCAGTTTTTTGATTGTCTAAGAAAGAAACATAATCACACCTAGAATCTTAATTATCAAATAGTAATTATTATTAATATTACAATATTATGAAAGTACAAATAAACAGTATCGGTAATACATTTTATTTTCTCATAACGTACTGCGAATTTTTCTTTTTAGTTGTTCAACTAAATAAATACGGAAATAGTAGAGTTATCCCCTGCAAAACAGTATTTCGTAAAAATATTTTGGTTAAACAGCGTAAACATTTTTTGTGATAATAACATGATACAACTTGTACATAATTTATTCGGTAGTGAATTTGAATAGATTTGAATTAAGGCATTTTAATTTAACATTTTGTGATATTTGCCTACACGCAACTCCTTAATTAATAAGGTCGATATCATGTTCTTTCATTAATATTATTGTATGTATACGAAATTGCAAAATATAAGTTCTTGTGGACAGTATGTGTGCTATCTAAAAAAAACAGTAAATTCTTTACATGTGATCCTCGTAAACGTTTGTTGGATGTGTGATGAAAACTAGTACGTTATAATTTGCCATTTCGTTTCGTTTATTTGGATATTAAAATATTAAAAATATATTCAATATAATATAAATGTACATTACTAAGAATTGGGCTGCGGCGTTTCAAAAACCTGAGATGTGGTATCAGTGGCATTTGGAGAGAAAGGCGGTTCGCTATTCGTATTAAAATAGTAAACACCCCGAGTTCTAAAAATTAAACAAAAACAAAAAAACATCAATAATTATTACAATTAACGGTTTGCATCACCGAACAAATATATGACGTAAATTCTTTATTTGAACGATGATTGTAAACTTCAAAATTTACTTACTCCAATTCGAGATATTCTCCGACCATTACATGAACGTCTTGGAAATCACCCCCTAATAACGAAAAATCTTTGTCTGAACAAGACCCAGATAACGTAGCGAAAAATCCATGAATTGTCTTTTCGTGTGTGATCGACTCTGCAAAATAATAATAGGCTCTATGGTGATGACAATACACCGGGTGCTCTGAAAATTTCAACCATATACATAATTGGCATTTATTTTAATATTCAATGATTAAAAATATGTACCTACCATCGTGTTCACATCCCGGTTGTCTGATTCCACCGTTAGCGTAAAAATCAACAGTTCCAATTGGTAAAATTTGTCCTAAAACCCCGGAATTTGAATGAATAACGTCTACTACGGTTGCACTATCTGCGTTCAATAGACTGCGTCCGTTTTCCAAATGGGGTGAAGCCGGATCAAGGGCTATTAAACCAAATTATAATCAATTACGTGATAAATCAAAAACAAATCATGTTAAAAAAGACGTCCTAGGATAATGGAGACGGGTGCAACTACTGTTGTAGATAATTTAATGTATACCTGTAAGAAACGATAAACCATTGCTTACCATAAAACGATTCTGAGTGGAGTTCAGTTCATAGAAATGCTTTGACAATAATATATATGCCATTTTATAGTAAAATAATTAAATAGGTTGTATATATTTTCATTAGTAATATTTGTTTAATGTTGTACCGATTTTCCCAGTTTTCCTACGTTTTTCCCGGTTTTCCGCATTTGATAAGAAATCTCTTGTGAGTATCGAAAAATGATCTGCTTAAAGTACCTCCCTAGTGAAATTAATTTTAAGAAATATTGCTTTCATTAAAAGTTGAAGCAAAATTATTGATTGAAAAGTTGAACACAGGTAAAAAAAATTGTAATATTTGAATAATATATTTCGTACATTTTCCCGTTTCTTTTCGGTTTTTCAAATTTGACGAGAAAACTCTTGAGAAAATCGTACCTCTCCACGCCGATTTCCTTTCAGAAAAGGTGCTACATGTAGAAATCCGAGTAAGTCTTCTGGTAGAGAAATTAGGCACGGGTAAAAAAAAACAAAAAATAAACATCTTTATAAATCTATAAGCTTCTTCGCTCCACTCAGAATCTAAAACACATATTAAGATTTATAAACATTGATCAACCTATTTTTCACCGTTTGTTGGTTTCCACATTATAATTAATTTTAAAAATATTTTTCGTTTTTACAATGTCAGCCCAAATTATACATAAAAGGCAAAAATGGTAAATATAAAATATTTTATAATTAAGTTTCTTATACTTATTTATTTTTCGTGCGGGAAGTTGCCACCCCCCCCCCCCCTCCGACTTTCGACTTCTGACTATGTGCCAATGCCAATATTTTGTAATTTATTTTTAAATATTTGTAACTTAGTTTTCAAAATTTTTAACCTTTTTGTTAAGCAAAACTCGAATGATACTAATAAATTAAATGTATACCTTGTCAGTCAGGTATACATTTTATACTACTTTACACTGAATATACCTTGTTATGGATTACACCAGTGGCGGCTCGTGGGTTACATAATTGATGATGCGCATTTAAAAAATTGTACACAATAAGTACAGTCAATTCAGAAAGTAAATAAATAAAATAAATATTTCATTGAAATATGAATATTTATTTTTATTCGTTTTGTATACGAGGTTCTTAAATAGAAATGTACAATATATAAGGGAATTATATTTGTTTTTGTTACATTAAAGAATATTATTTGGGAATTGAATGTAAACCGGGTCGATCAGTATTTTCTATAGAGTTGTTTTAGAGATAACCCTGCCTGCGGGACAAATTGAATATTATTGAAAAGAAATAATCAGTTCTCAATACATGATATTCTCCGCCAGCATCGGCAGACGGCTGTACGACCGCGGCGGTGCAATATTCGTTTGCGCAAAAACACATCACTAAGTCTATGGTAGTCTAATGGTAGTTATGTCAGTAGTAGGAATAAAACGGTCAAATTAACATACACGACTGATGCAAAAATTTAAAAAATTGCCTGTCCACAAGTTGTAACTGAGTTACAAATAAATTACGAAATATTGGCATTAGTCCGAAGTCGATCGGATAAAGTCGGCAGCTACATAAAGTTTGACCCCCCCATTAGAACTTTTATAGTGGTTAAAGTGCAAATACACTAATCCTAAAAGTTTAGTTACAAACAGTTAATAAGTTACAAATTCTGAAAAATATGTTACAGATATTTAAAAAATAAGTTACAAAATATCGGCATTGGTCAAAAGTCAAAAGTCGTGGTGTCAACTTTACGCACATATTGTATCCTATAACTTTAAAAGCAAATCGTTCACCCAAAAAACAAAAAATAAAACGAACATTTAAATGAGGTGAGGTTTTTAGGAAAAAAAAACAATTATAACAAAAAAAGACAATACTAAATTTAGTTTTTATTATTTTAGATGAAAGGGTTGAGTATTGGAAAATAATATAAAACAATTATTATAGGTAATTAAATTAAAAATGCCTCATTTTATTTATTTATGTATTTTCATCTATCATAAATATTTTAGGTCATAGTTGCAAAAGTTAGAGAATTTTCTTAATTTTAATCCTTTTATGACTCGACTAAGAGTTGACAAATTATTATAAATTTTACACAATTTTGAACAATCAAATTTTGTGTTTTTAACTTTCAACTCCATTCCTCACAATTCTGACGCTTTCATAGAAAAATCCTGGTTTTATATTCACATACTGTCACATGAAAGTAAGTAACTTGGTTAGAATACGATGCTCTGCTGCTCAATTTTTATTTTTTATATTGCTCTTCAACAGGGTATTATCGAGTGTCTGTACAATTATACTAATTGTGATATTCCAATTTTGGTTATACATCTAATATATAAAATTGTCTCATACAAAAGGTCCTATTCTAAGTTAAATTAACTTAGAGATTTTGATAGGCAACTAATATTAGTAGACAGCTATAATAACATACTAAAACATCAGCACCTTGTGCCTTCCACTGAAACGATTCGTGCGTCAGCGAGCTTCGATTAACGGTGACAACTAGTGAAACAGGGGGTCGGTTTACATCCATTTTGATCTAAGCGCAATAATACCTGTTTCAAAAAAAATTGTACAGGCACACAAACATGACCAATTTTTTTTTCATCGCCAGTATGTGTATAATAATCGTACCTCTAACTAAAAAACTTGTTTGATTAGATGTTGGACAATTTTTAAGTGGAACGAACTCACCACCGTCGTTCAGTAATATTTTTTCTTAAAACTGTAACTATCACTGTTGTAATAAATTGTTATCACTGAATTTATGAAAATAATATTGTATATGTATCACTCACCCGTTATTCTTTCGAGTTTATCAATCTTATTTTCATCATTCCATATTATTGCTATATTACCCGCAATTTGAGCTCCCAAGCTGAATCCAATGAGGTGCCGATATTTTATATTTGAATTTTTTTCCAAAATCTTTTGCAAAAGTCGCACCGTACACCTTGCGATAATTTTCATATTCAATAAGGTCTCTTGGTAACATCTTAAAGTAGGTCCAAGGGGAGTATAAACCACTGTTATTATATTGTAATCAGCTTTTGAAAAATAAGCTGAAAAATAGTATTTTCCTTAGTTTCTCCATTATTACGTTCAAATTTTTCGTATTTCCCACTAAGTACAACATATGGGCATAAATGGCCTATAGACATAAACGCTCTCTTGGTAAACTAAACTCGATAACTCGATTTGACCATCATCTGATTCTAATTTTCTGGTACGAAATTCACAATGTTTGTGCATATTAATACGAAAATAGTAGATATGTCAATAAGTAACATCAAAAAGTAACTATAAAAGTAATATCAAATAAGTTCAAAGTTCTACAAATGAAGATCATGCAATCTTAAAATCGTATCTTAAGCCGTGTTACGTACTAAGGGTTAACAATGTATGTGTAAAAAGATATCCCATCGCCCGTCTTTCATATTATGACACGCGTGACCTAGTAACGCACACAATAATAATAATTCTTGTGTCAAATTTTCAAACAATTTTGTCGTTTCAAACAAATTTTATTCATATCAATTGGGTAATAGTAATCAATATTACGTGATTTTTATAATTGTTCAAAAATTCTAAAATGTTAAAAAACCCTTGTACAGTTCATAATGAAACTTGTATCAACTTTTCCAGAATTTTCGATAAACTAAAAAACCCAACCTTCAGGGTAAAATTATAATAATCGTGATGCATTTTATAACGGCTTGTCTCATGCATTTTCAAAAATAAAATTAATCTTTCACTCTATAGTTACGAAATAGTTACATACATTATACATATTGACTTACCATCTCTGATCAAAATGTTAAATTTATCATTTTGTTCCCCTTTAATTCCGTGTATTAATATTTTCAAAGTGTCACTTGGGCTAAACTCTACGGTGTCTATTGTGTCTTCTGTAATCACAGCAAAAGTAGGCTTCTTTTCATTATCTCTGCAAAAAATACGTTGTAATACGTAGATAAAAAAACGCAACGAACAAAAAATTATTAAATTTAATTTCAAACAATGGCGTACCCTGCATTTTTAAGTATTTTTTTATTTGTGAGATGGGGACTAAAAACGGTTAATATAAATTTTAAATAATTATGTAAGCTAATCAATTATAAAATCACTTTTCTTAAAGGCAATTAGTAAAATACATAATTATGTAGTACAATTATATGTTTTAGATTATAAGTTGTTTTAGTACTGAAAATGTTCAACAATTATTATTTTATTAGTAATAAGTTTCCAATACTAAATAGTTTATGCTTTATATTTTTTTTAATTTTTTTTAACATGGTCAATTAGGGTGGTTTCTATACCCCTTAGCCCCTCTATTCTGGGTGCGCCACTGATTTTAAACGATTAACATGATTAAGTTTTAAGCACGATCATCCAAATTATATGGTTATACATTATGCATTAATTCAAATTCTGATTTTTGAAATTTTAAACTGTAGTTAAAGACAATTTTTTTGATGACGAATCAGTCGTTTATAGTTAGATTCCTGGTTTGAAACTATTTTTTAAAATTCAGAAAAAAGTAACTTTAATTATGCAGCAGACTGTAATCGCATTCACTAATATAATATTATTATTATTTTGGGTAATCGACTAAACATATATTTTTATAAAATATTAATAAAGTTGATACGTCGAAATATTTAGAAAAATAAACTCTATAAAATAGCTTCTTTAAAAATTTTTCAAAAATAGTAAAAATAAAATATTTTTTTTTAAGTTTTTAGCGAAACATAATATATTAATTGAAATATACATGTACATGTTTACAGTTCTTATGATTTAAAGTCGGCGGATAGGCATTCCCCCTTCAGCTAACTTGAAGCAGTGTGGAATGTGTATTGTACAATGGAATGTAAGATACTGGGAAACAATGATATAGGTGAAATTCATTAGGATAAAGGAATTCGGGAAACATCTAGACATCCAGACATATAGTCACAAAATGTTCGTTCAAATTTCGATTAAAATTCTAGATCAACATTTTAAGAATAACATTATAAGATTCACAGTTTACATTCAAATATGTAGGTTTTCATTTGAAAATCACAGAATACTCGTGTTTTTATAATCTAAGTACCTATTTGAAAATATCGTCTTTAACTACTTACTTAAAAATAAGAAAAAATTTCCGAATTTGAATGTATACATTATTTAATCCCAAAACTAATGTGAGTATAATTAAAAAGTCGCTTTAAAAAAAATATTATTGTGTAAACCTACTTTCTATACAAATAAAATGTGATATATTTATTTGGACATTCGTCGGTCGCTTCAAAGCATTCAACTGGACGCACTAAATCCGTATGATCCGTGTAGGAGCTACGCGTGCAAATAAAAAACAACACGATTCCACCTAAAAAAACTGTTTACATTCTATTAATTTTCAATAAAATTATTTCATTACACAATTAGAGAACTGTTTATTAACAAACGAAGGTAATGGTGAATTTAACGCAAAGTATACGTAATACGAAACCGTTTATAATTGCATCTATTTAAATATGATTATAGATTATAGTGTACTGCAGCATAATCAATCATCTCAGAAAGTATAAATATTTATTGACGATATGATTATTATTTATTTTGAAATTCAATACAGGTAATTTTCTCATTTTAAATCAGTACTTTACTCAGATGCTGCTACCACTGTTATGTAGACAATGTTTCACAATAAATCCTCCACTCCCTCCCCCCCCCAATATATAATGTGTAAAATTAAAAAACTCAAAAATTGTACATGTTACATTCCATCGGTGAAATAACCCAATCCATGAAATAACGTTAAATTCATACGTTCCATTCAGTTTGTGCTGTTAGTTTTAGAATAAGGGTGTATTTGCTTATTATCAGACCTAAAGATAAGACTATTACCTATAATTTTACGATAGTTTTTTCGATATTTTAATTTTAAAGCGAGTTAAAAATATATGAAATATTACAACTTAAAAATCATCGTTTCCCTTTTGGAAATTAAATTGAAAAAACCAATTTACAAACATAGAAAATGTTTTTACCTTTAGATTTGATAACAGGCAAACACACCTTAATTTTATAAGGTTTTATATACAATAGGTACTTGGTACATACATTGTCATTGGATAATAAGCCCACGGGAAGAAAATAAAAGCCAGTTACGTATACTTTTCAATAAAGCAAATTAAATTTCAAAAATAAGTCATAAACATTATACCTACACTAATTATTTTGTCAATAAATGATATTACATAAAATGTTTATGGGGACAAAGTTACATAATGCAAAATAATAGTAAAAAAACAATTATAAACATTAACCAAAGCCAACCGGTATTACAAATAAAGGTGTACATATATATATATACAAACTATAATATTAAATATTATTTGTTTCACGCCTAATTAAAACGGCTATAATTAAGAAACTATTCATCGGATATGAATGTGTGATACATTAAACATATTTTAATGATATTTTTTACGAAATGCCTATTCCCATATTCTTGAGAATTACTAGGTGTTTTGAACAATTCCGAAGCTGGCTAATTATTGTAGGCAATTGGTGTACATTTCCGTAATTGACAGATAAGTTTATACAATGTACCTAATCCATCATTATTTATTAAATTGGTTATCACTTATAAAGTCTTATGTGACTGTTTATTTCGAAACAAAATAATTGTACTACACTTTCACTAAGTTCTTAATTATGGCATTTTAATAATAAAAAAAAAAAAACAATGAATTATTAAAAGTGTAAAATTCCGATTACTAATGTCAATAAGATTCGAGGAACACGGAGCAATGTATTTGCTGTAGTCCCCGATATTAAAGATAATTTATGCAAATTATTTAAGTAATTAAATTTAAAAAGATTAATATACTTCACACGTGTGTGCAGCTACTGTTGTAGGTGGGAAGTTGGGAAGGTAGTATTAGAGGAGAAATTAAATGTATATTTGTAAGCAACGATAAACCGCTGCTAATGAAAAAACGATTATGAGCGGAGTTCAGTTGATAGTGATGCTATGTCAACAATGCATAAAACATAAATGGTAAAATAATTAAATAGGCATTATATAATTTCTTTAATATTTGTCTAATATTGTACCGATTTTCCCGTTTTTACTAGTTTTCCTAACCATACCTTTTTAGTCAGATTTCCTTTCAGAAAAAGTGCTATCATTGTAAATCAAAGATAAATTACTGGCAGAAAAGTTGTTCACAGGAAAAAAATATAGCCGAATTATGTTTAAACTAATACCTGCAATTTGTACATTTTCTCATTTTTCTTCCGTTATTTTCGGTTTTCACATTTTATGAGAAAATTACTCAGAAAATGAAAAATGACTTTAATTAATTGATGTACCTCCCCATACCGATTTATTTTCATAAAAGAGGCTAAACTGAAAAATCAAAGCAGAAAAATAAACATCTTTATAAAACCATAAGCGAAGAAGCTTATAGTTCACTCATAATCTAAAATGAAATAATGTATATATTATTTTTTTATTAGTAAATTTAAAATGTAAGGTAAACACTGATAATATACGATTTCCAGGCATAACAGTTAATTACTAGCTCAGTATATCACTGGTGTCATTGAAAACCCGAATGTATAAACAATGTCAATTAGTAAAAAGATCAGGAGGTTATCTTCAATATGTATTCAAATATTTATGGGTTTATTTTTATTTTTTTCTTTATTTCAAATGTAAATTTTTTTAAATTAATAATGAAAAAAAATGTTTTGATAAAATCTATGATAATCATTATATTAACATTTTGAAGCACAATTTTTGTAGTTCAAATATGTATTATTGATGAATTGTTAAGTTTCTTCTTGATAATTATAAAATTCTTTCACAAAATTATAGTTCATTTAAAAGTTAATGATTAGATTTAAAAAAAACTGATTTTATTTTGAAGATTAAGGTAATTTAAACTGATTTTATCGCAACTACTGAATAATAATTAGTTCATAAATCATTCAGCAATTTTTTTAATGATTTTCGTAAATTTCAATAATTTTACCAACCCTCAATAAGAAATCCTTAGCTCAAAAGTGAATAATGAATAACCTTCAAAATTATGAGTGATGTAATTGAATGTAGAATGTAAAGAGTGATATAAAATAATGGCAAAGTAAAATGTTAAAGCTACTTGTTTCATAAATTTCAATAAAATGCACACATGCTTGTGTTATAATATCAGGTAGGTATATAATAATATTACGTATTTATTTATTTTACTAAAATCATATTTTAGTTAATTAGAAAATTACTTAACATTTTACACTCAAATTGAGTTTCTTTTTAAATTATGTTGGATACATTTACGTATGAATACATATTACACATATAACTCGTCGGTAGATATTGATGTATATATATTATTATTTTTTTACCTTTTTCCAAAACAAACATAATTTTCTGAACAAGTTTCGACAAATTACTGGTGTAAACCTAATCACGGGATAACTATACTTAATTTATAATTTATATTTGTCATAACTGGACGTAAACACGTTCGCTACGTTCGCGTACGATACGGTATTTTACTATAGAAATAGAAAAATAGCTGTACCTATAAAATACACTGTGTTTCATTAGTAGTTTATACAGGTGACTATACTTAAACGCTACTACATACAGCTACTACTGTAACTATAGGACTACATACCACAACTCGTTCAGTCTCACCTGTACAAGCTTTAATTCAATTTCATAAGTGCTGTATACAATAAATTTTATTTCACTGTAAACTCGAAGTAGTATGTTTTATAGAAATCGGTTCGTTGTTTATTGCTTAATTGTTTACTTAAACTCGTGAATTTTCCTTTTTTTTGTTTGTTCGAAATATTCAATAAAAGTTGTGTGGAATGTGTGTTACAATTAGGGATGATTTGTAAATTTTTGACGGTTTCGCAAGCAACATTCTAGGAAAAATTAAGATTTTGATAATATAACGATATTTTAGTTTGTAAGTATAGCAAAAAATGTATTAGTTCTACGATGATGTTCATTCTTATTTTTTATTTTATATACTGTAACAAAAAATTCTACCAGAATCTTGCTTCAATATGTAAGTGTAGCACCTTTTCTGAAAGAAAGTATTATCTACATAGTATTTTAAGGAAGTTATTTTTTGATCTAACAAGCGGCTTAGTTTTTCATAATATCTGTGAAACCCCCCTGGATAAAACGTGAGAAAAACAGGAAATATGAAAATAATGCTTTTATTATTTTAAATTTTGTTTTTTGCTGTTATTTAGTTAAAAATATTCGTAAAGACTTGAAATTGGGTCAAAAAACTTATACTTGCCTTTTCTAAAAAGTGTTATATTCTCAAAACATTGTTGAACATTTTTGAACTATTTATGGACATTTTAATTTTGCACGTAATTTTTATGCGGTATATACTCTGTGTATAATCAAAAAATCTGAGTTTAATGAAGTATTTTTTTATATAACAGAATATTAATATCAAATTTTGAAGAAAATCTTTGAGTAAAGATTGAGGTTTGAACAAATCTTGTTTTTAGTATATACAAATTCGTCATGTTTTGAACATTTGTATATTGCCGATTTAAGAACGATGGTGAAGTCAGAATTGAGTAGACTGACATAATTTCGAAATTATAGGTCTTTGAAGTTCTGATATTACGTGAACATTATATGTGTTATGTTATGTAACTCAATATTGTAAACTTTATAGTATGTAGATGTATCGTAGTATAGTGGTGGTACGTACCTGTTGTCATCCCAGACATCTCAAGTTCAAACCCGAGTTCCGGAAACATTTTTTTGCAAAACCACGTCGACGTCGGGTATGTGACAGGGAAAAAACAAATGCAATACAATATGTGTTAAATGTATAATAAATTCATTGTATTCAATTTATATTTATTTTACTGTAGTATGTATATATTATATTGTTGAAAAAGCAATACTACTGACCGAGCTCCGTCCAAGATCGTTTTTCGTTAGCAATGATTAATCTTTGCTTACAAATATACATTAAATTCTCCTCTATACCCTACCTACTTAACTTCTATAATTTATAAGAGTGGTCCACCAATCATATAAGTATGTCAGTTTTATTTTATACTGGCGCTATATTTAAAATAAATTATATTAGGTACTAAATTATTCTTATTTTTAACTTGTCTTATAAATAGTTTTACGAAAGATGGAATTTGGATTTCAAGAATTTTATTTATATTTTTTATGTTAACATGCTATTTAGTTACTTAGGTTTAGTTTTATCTGGAGATTTTTGCCATTTTCCAAAAAAAAAAAAAACGATTTATTCGTATTTCAATATGTTTGATTTTAACTTGGGTAATAATATGTTGTAGTTTGAATGCCTACGTGTCTAATTGAGTATACTAGTTTGGTTTGTGATGAATTATGATTGATACGATTGCAGTGGTGCAACCCGGATTTATTTACGACAGCAGGAGACCTATTGGGTTAAAAAAGTGGTATTTGCTCTTAAGTAGGGAAATGTTACAGGTAGGTAGTTTAGACGGTATAAAATATACAAAAACAACTCATTTCAAACGAAATAAAATTAACAACGAAGTAATAATGAAGAACTAATAGTTAATCGTCATGCTTTTCCGCTATTGCCAAGGTAACATAGAAATTAAGAAAACTTAAAAATGACAGAATGAATGAAATTCTGAAAAGGTCGAAAAATGTTCCAAATGAATATTGTTGAGCAGAACTTCTGCATTTATTAAGTTACTGCATAACAAAATTTGAACATTACCCTACCCAAAAAACGGGTTTCAAAAAAAAAAAAAGTGAAAATAAAAAATATTTTAAATTTTGTTCTTAAAGTACTATGAAGTGAAAAATCTGTATCTTCTTAGGTAGATTTAACTTTAAAAATCAGAACGGGTAAAAGTTTTTCCGGAAAAACAAAAAAAAATATATTCTTTGTTATACTTAAAGTCTAAAATTGATCCATACACATTTTATAATTTCTTTCTTTTGACTAATGTAAACACTTATAAATGATATAAAATACAAAAAAATTGTTTTACTTATTTAAATACCGAACATATAACATACTTCATACTATTGATAAACCATTGATATAGATCGGAAGTTTCAAAGGTATAAGAACTAAGGTAAATTAGTTTTAAAGCAACTGAAAGCAAATCTTTACAGTAAAAACTTATATTAAACAGAATTTGGTAATCTGGTAAAGTATTTATTGTGGTTTTATCTTGTATGGTCAAGATAACTTAAAAATCAACAAAAGAAAACCAATAAATCGTAATGTTTTGAAAATTGTTGAGATTAATCTGTTGGGAATCTAGAAAAATGTTTCAAAGTACAAAAGCCTGAAAAATTAATTTGTTTTAATGTACGATATAAATAATTTGGAGCATATTTTTGCTAACAAAAAAAGTGTTTTCTGAGAAAAAATGTTTATTATAAATCTACCATATTAAAATTAAGTATCACTAAATGTAGGATTTTTTTTTAAATTTTCAATTTGAACATTTGTTAATCGTTCAACAACTATAAATTAAATAATGAATACATTTCAAAATGTATTATATTAAAATAATACGTTTAACTCTATACTAAATTAAAATCCATTACTTATATTACGTTACAATGAATTATACCTACTTAATTATTACTGAAAAAAAAAAAAAAAAAATGTATAATACTAATGCTAGGAGATTTTAAAACGTTTAATAAAATATAAGTACAAGAATAAAAATAATTTGTGTTAAATCGTTGTATCAATGACATAAAGAAATATAATAACTAAATATTAAAAAACCATAATTCTATTCAGTTTTCCTCTTGCATATTATATTTGGTAAGAATGTAGATTCCTATATCTATAAACACAGATATTAGAGAATTATAGGTATTTTTCTAAACTATATTATACTGATTAAAAAATAAATAGTCCTTAGGAGAAATTTTTCTATTGGGGAATACAATGCAATGCATATAATACTATAATATTATTGTGTTGTGTTGTTTGAAAAAGACAAAAACGTCCCTGGATAATTTAATGAAAGGGTACAAGCAAAACTACTAAAAGAAATTGACTGATCTCTGTCCACTAGGGTCTTTCAAATTCGAACACGAGTTATACTAAACACTTTTTGGGAGGAATTCGCATAAGTATAATACTCATTAGCGAAAAGGTTTTAGAGGAATTTAGTACTTTATTTTTGGAAAAAATTAATATTTCAACTCGTTAACAGTATTGTGGTTTATCTAGATAAGTATATTACATAAATATATATTACATCTTAAGTAAGTAGCTAAATGAAAAATAAGTTATTGAAGCATTTAAACAAATGTATTTACAAAAATCTTTTTAAAACGTCATTTTTAATTAAATTAATTTATATCGATAAATTAATTATTCGGATAGGTAAATCAGTTGCCATACTTTACTGAAATGTGGATATATATTAAATCTGATACACTATTAATACTTTTAGTACATAGTTTTATGAAATATAATGACTAAAATTGTTTTTTTTTTTTTTAATTTCCTAATTAATTATTTTTATCTAGATATCAAATTTTTATGTGTCCTTTATTTCATTTAAATCACTATTCTAGTATTCGTTCTAGCTAAAATATTAATAAATAAATAAATTTCGATCAAAATATTTTACAATTTATATTTTTATAACACCTATCAACGTACAACGTAATAATAATAAATACAAATATTATTAAAGAGTAATAAAGAATAATAAAAACGCTATAAGTTAGAGAACGTTATCCCCACCCATAAAGGATAGTAAAAACTATTTTGTGCAGGACATCTATACTCTTTCGGTATAGTAGTTACCGAAATTACAATAGTACTATAAGTAACAGCACATAAAGAACTTTGTGTCTTAGAATACTTATTTTTTTAAATTTTTTTTTGAAAGTTTTATCCAATAATATTTTATAAGTAAATTATCAAACCAATTTAACCCTAAGTTAACAAATGTAAGCATAGATAACATTCTTCTTAAGAGGACGTTATACATGCATTTATTTTTTCCGTCTTACAAACACACGATGTAATGAAAACATGCTTACGCAGACTACACAGAGCTCGCATAACTTTGGTTTTAGAGTAAAAACACCTATTATAAATTTAAAAGAGAACAATATTCCGGAGTGAGTACAAAACTTTGCGTTGTTTTGAAAACGTTATTTTTTTTAAAAGTTTTAGCTAATTAAAAACCCGTTTAAAAAGTTGTTACTTATAAACGTTTCCGTAAGTTGACTGATATAATCGTAGAAATGCAAAAAAACGCAAATTTTTTAGTCCTATGTAGCCTGCGTAAGCAAGTTTTAATAGTAAGATTGAACGAAAAATGAATGTGTAGCGTCATCTTAATGGACTCCGACTTTTACTTTATGGTTATTCAACTAAACAAATATGAAAAGAGATATAATTGTTTCATGCAAAACGGTTTTTCATAGAAATATTTTGTTTATCTATATATAAAAAATACATGTCCTGACTGACTGATTCATCATCGCCTAACCCAAAACACAAGACGGATTGGGCTAAAATTTAAAACACAGAAGGTTATTTTGACGTAGGCATTCGCTTAGAAAGAAATTTTGAAAATTTAACCCCTAAGGGGGTAAAATAGGGGTTTTTAGGTATATTTGGTACAAATATCTAATTACTTATTTATTTATTTTTGCTTATTTAAGGGTTACCTTGGTGTTACAGAAAATAAAACTATTATAATTATAATTTATTATTATTATTATTTACACTATTTAAACTTCACACTAGAATACATTTAGCCCGCCAAAAGTGGGCTACCCACGTTCCATTTATTTGTTTTCATTCAATTCTGTCACGACTAAAACTAAAAATGAATATGAATAAAATAATAATTATAAAAATTGACACGGGCAATGCCAGGCGCGGAAAATTTAGTATTGCATAAAAATACTTTTTATTATAACAAGGGACTTCTAAGTACCATTTTTGATAATGAATTTTAATAGATTTGAATTGCTCAATTTTAATAATCTAATTTTTTTTGTGAAAATTGGCTGCACAAAATTCCTTAAATAAAGTTAGTATTACGTCTTAATAATATTATTATTGTATGTATACAAAATTGCAAAATATAACTTCTTGTTGTTATCCTGTACAATTATAATATTATGATATAAAGAAAACAGTCAATTCTTCACACGCGATCAACCTATAAGTTTTGGTATTTAGTTTGAAACTGTGAGTTTGCCGTTTCGTTCAGTTTATTTGAACACAAAACTTTTTATTGTACAGGATAACCACAAGAAGTTATAATTATTAAAATGTAATATCAATATTATATTACCAATTAGACTGTAATTTTTCAACAAACTGTGAAAATATATGACTATACTTTTAGAGCGAAAGGCATAACACTATTAGTTTTAAAATAGTAAACACCTCGAGTTCTAAAAATTAAACAAAAACAAAAAAAGTCAATAATTAGTTTGTAATGGTTTGTAAAACCGAACAAATATATCTTATAATCCGTGAATTCTTTATTTGGGTTACGAATATAAACTTACTTTAAATCGAGATATTCTCCGACCCTTACGTGAACGTCTTCGAAATCACCACCTAACAACGAAAAATCTTTGGCCAAACAAGAGCAAGATAAATTAGCGAAAATTCCATAATTGTATCTTCTGTAGTTGATCGACTCTGCAAAATAATAATAGGCTCTATGGTGATGACAATACACCGGATACACTGAAAATTTCAACCATTTACGTAATTGACATTTACTTTGATATTCAAAGATTAAAAATATATACTTACAATCGTATTCACAACCCGGTTGTCTGATTCCGCCATTGGCATAAAAATCAACAGTTCCAATCGGTAAAATTTGTCCTGAAACCCCAGAATTTGTATGAATAATGTCTACTACGGTTGCGCTATCCGCGTTCAATATACTGCCTCCGTTTTCAAAACGAAGTAAAGCCGGATCTAGGCCTATCAAATCAAATTTTAATCAATTATGGTATACTTTTTATCCTGTTGTATGTGATATACTTAAACCTACACATTTTAAATGTATGTATATTAAAAACGTGATTGTATCTCTAACTACAAAATTGTTTTCATAAAATGTTGGGAAACTTTAAGCATTCAATTAATTTACCACCGCCATCATTTAGGTCTTATAATTTTTCTTTAAACTGTAAATTTCACTATTGCAATGAAATTATAACACTGAATTTATGAAAATAATATTATATACCATGTATTACTCACCTGTTATTCTATCGAGTTTGTCAATCTTCTTTTCATTCAATATTTTTGCTATAGTTCCCGCAATTTGAGCTCCCAAGCTGAATCCGATAACGTGCTGATATTTTATATGTGGATTGTTCTTCAAAATTTGTTGCAAAAGTCTCACCGTACATCTTGCAATAATCTTCATATTTAATAAAGCCTCTTCGTAACATTTCAAAGAAGGTGCGAGGGGAGTATAAACCACTGTTATAATATTGTAATCGGCGTTTAAAAAATAAGCTGAAAAAAATTATATTTTCCTTAGTTTCTACATTAAAATGGTTTTCAACTTTTAATTTTTTAATATTCCGCACTAGGTAAAACATGTAGACATGTAAAGTCAATAGGCATTAACGCTCTAGTACTCAGCCGATTTTGATAATTCGATTTGATGATTAATTTGATTTTGAATTTTTGGTACGACCTTTACAATATTTGTGCATATTATTACGAAAATGATAGGTGTGACAAAAAGTAACTATCATTAAGTTTCAACTAAGTTCAAAATTCTACAAAGGAAGATCATACAGCCTATAGATAAAATATTTGAAACTAAAAATCGCATTACGTACTAAGGGTTAACAATGTAAGTGTAAACATATATCCCGTCGGCCATCTGTCATACTATAACCTAGTGGTTATAGTATACATACAGTAATAACAAACCTTGTATCAAATATTCCAAAATTTTTCATAAACTAAAAAAATTATTCACTTCCATTCATAAGGATTAAAAAATTCTGGTCGTAAAACATTTTTGATTGGCTTGTTTCTTAAATTTGCTAAAAAAAAAAATACATCTTCCACCCTGTAGATACGAGATAGTTACACAATTGGCATTGTACACATTGACTTACCTTCCCTGATTAACATGTTAAATTTATCGTCTCGATCCCCTTTAACCCCGTGTATTAATATTTTCAAAGTGTCACTCGGACCGAACTCTACGGTATCGATTGTGTTTTCTGAAATCTCAATGTTCTTTTTTTGTATATTTCTGTAAACATACATTGTTATACATAGTGTTTATAGAACGCAACGGACAAAAAACTATCAAATTCAGTTTCAAACAGTGGCGTACCCTGCATTTTGCAATATTTTTTTTGTTTGGTGGGACTAAAAATAGTAAGCAAAAATTGTATATCATTATGTAAGCAAAATCAGTTTATTGAACAACGATATTTTATTAAGGTTAATTTACAAAATACATAATTGTGTAGCACAATTATTTGTTCTTCGTTGATTTAATACTACAAATGTTCAAAACTATTAGTTTATTTGTAAATTTGTTTTATAACTATTACAATTATTTTATTAAATCTATTTTTTTTTTTTGTATTTTAACATTTTTAAAGTGGGGGAGATTTATAGACCACTCTGTCCTGGGTTTGCCACTGGCTGTAAATGATATATCCTTATTATATTATGTAAACCTACCTTTTATAAAAATAAAACGTAATATGATCATTTGGACATATGTCGATCCCTTCAATACAAACACCTGAATCCTGATGCATTATATCCGTGTATGCATTACGTGTGAAAATTAAAAACAACACGATCCCACCTAAAAAAGCTGATTACATTCTATTAATTTTCAATGAATTTAATTTATTATATTTTTTGGAAAATTGTTTATTTGCAAGTAGGTAATAATAAATTATGATAATTTGTCATTTGTAATTGCATTTATTCTAATATGATTATTGTACATTTATGTACTGCAGGATGATCAATTTTTTATTAAAGTATTAACATTCCTTAAAATTGTTACGGGCACCGTCTTTTCCCTACTAATATACGATATTAACACAACAGAAATATGGATACGTTAGTAGCGCGGTCTTGGGAACTTGTACTTTTAAACAAACAGACTACTCGAGGGCCATATATGCACACTAAATATAATATATATCCAGAATATATAATATATTATATTAAGGGCACTAGCATGATCATAGGTCACACGTGTACACGTAAGTGTGAACCCTTTCGTGGGAACGTTATCGGCTAGTGGCACAATAACTTGTATTTTTCTGTTTGTTGTCTAATATTATTAGAAAAAGAAAAAATGCTCAATTTAAATACTGAAATATATATTATGAATGTTATTATGAAAAGTCAACTAAGGATATTTACTTAAAAATCGTAGTATATTATTTATTATTTAAATCCTCATTTATACAAAACCCTATAGGACGATATAGGAATTAATTAAAATTGTTTATTACATAGTTCATCAATGACATGAAAAATTACTTCATGTTTGTAAGGAATCAATTAAATGTTTAGAAAAAACTTAAAAATAATAAAAATCAAATAACAAACTGAAAGATGTAAATATGAATACTATTGTAAAAATACGGATACCTGACGTTGATTAATCTATACGATTACCTCGGAATCTATTGACTGTTATCACCGATGTTTAATGTAATTTATACAAACTATGTAAGTAATTCAATTTCAAATGAAATAATGTATACATTATTATTTTTGTAACTGAATTAAAATTCTACGTTTAGAAAATTGTTACTTAAACCATAGATATGTACGAACAGAAATTGTTCCGTGTGATGACAATTTTCTTGATTTAAATTGTACAGTCAGCTAACGAAGTAGAATTCATTCTCCAAAAAACTACCGGGCATAACAGTATAACCGGGAGTCAAGGATACCAGAGGTGTCATTACAAAACCAGATAGATGTGTTTGTCGAGTAGCAAACAAATTATGCAATTCAAAAAGCTATACTACTTTATCTTGTAAAAATAAATAAAACAATATGTTTTTATAACAATAGAAATATTAATTTAATAATTATGTTATTATGTTAGAATGTATAGTAATAGTATTAATATAAATTACATGGTTATGTCGATTAAAGTAATGATATGTTACACACAAATAGTTAGGCAATGTAAACATTTACATATTCACATCACACCCAAGCAAAATTGTGGGAAAATAAGGATAGTGCATAATTTGAGGATAAATTTCACTCGTCTTAAATATTTATTTTGGACTTTTGATAACCTCGTATAATATATATAATATACAAAGTGTTCCGTGATGATTCGACGAATGCATTAATTTTTGTTATCTTCAATATTTATTTTATATAATACCAAAACACTGAGCTTTGATTCCTCTATATCAAATTTATTACATTTTGTTTAAAACTAAAAATAAACAAATTTGTTAACAAAATCCAAGATAGTCATTTCATAAATATATTTTAAAATAAAATATTAGTGTCATAGATAGTTAAAAATTATTTTTCATGGAAAAATCGGTGAATCGATAGATATTATGTTTTTAAATTAAGATAATTGAAAACATTTAATTTCTACTACTAAGTAGTATCATTTAGTTTAGACATTTTTCCATCAAAAATTATTTTTTTTAAGTTTCAAAAATTGTTTCATTCTTCGATAAGACACTCGGTATTCCGAAAAGTATTAACTTTATTAAGAATTTTAAGTGTTGAAGTTTTTAATTTTCGTTACTCCACTGACGAATTAATCTCGTTTTCCTAACTTAAAAGTAGAATATCTCATCAGCGAGTTGACGAAAATTAAAAATATCAACACCTAAATGTATTTAAACTAAAACTGTGTATTTACGTATGGATTTTTTAGCATAGGTTTTAATTTGAAAATCAAAAAAAGGTCACCCACAAAAATAAGCGTGACAATTTATTAATAACGGCAACGTAACATTTAAGAACTGCCTGTTTCATAAATTGTCCAAAAAATAAAAATACCGATTTAATAAGTGTCTTGTCGACCATAGATAACCTTGTATGTGTTTGTGTGTATTAAAGTATTAATATTCATGTGCCTATTTCAAGTGTAAAATCATTTTTTTATTCAAATTTGTTAGAAAATAACTTGACATTTTACATCCAAATTAGGTTTTTTTTTAAATTTACGGTGCTCCACGGTGGGTACATTTACGTATAAACTACATATTAATATTACAACTCGTATGCAGATATTGGTATATATTATTTTTTTTTTTTTTACCTTTTTCCAAAACAAACATTTTCTGGCCAGTTTTGACTAATTACTGCAGTAAACCTAATCACAGTATATCTATACTTAATTATAATTTATAGTTATCATAACAGGATTTAGAACACGGCTACAATCGCATATGATATGATACGTATTTTATTATCGAGATAGAAAATGAATTGTGTACTATGATAGTGACTACGTTTTTGTTTTATTTATACAGTTTATACAGGTGACTACACTTAAACGCAACTGTATATAGCTACTACTTACTGTAACTATACGACTATACGAATAGTTTTGTTATTATTATACAGTCACCTGTACAAGCTGTAATTCATTTCCATAAGTTCGATATACGACAAATGACAATTTTATTTCACTGTAAACCTGAAGGAACACGTCTAATGAAATCGTACCGTTGTTTACTTATTCATTAAGCCTTAACCGAACATAACCCAATCGTGGATTTTATTAAAAAAAATTTATGAAAAAAAAACATAGTTGACATAGTGCATTCTGCGAGCGTGCAAAGTTACCGGCTTCTATAAACGTATTTTACACAATAAACTATAATTCCGTAAACAATTTTGAACAAATTTGTTAACCTAGTTTTTATTATATGATTATGTTTATGTACTTAACCTAACCTAAATAAAAAAAATATATTAATAATTAACATGCGATTTTTACATGTTTTAATTACCTATTTAATAAATAATAGTATCTATTTATAATAGTAATAATAATATTACGAATAGAGTATAATATCTGCTTGTCAACCAAATCAACATCCGTAATTATGTATACTAGAAATTCGCTGGTAGTAAATAGTCGACGATGCAGTATTCGAAAAATCAAAGAATTTATATATGTTTTGTGTATGTCAATTACATTTTTCTTATGTGCGTATGTTTTACATCACCCGTAAACTGAAGTATAAACAACCATTGATTTTCGTCGTCGGCATTTAGAAACTAAACATTTTCTTTACAACCACAAAAAAAAAAAAAAAACATAGTTACCTATATATTGGCGTTTCCCGTGCCGATTTCGTATTCTTTTTACTATTATTCCCGTATCAGTATATCGAACAAAAGAAAATAGGTTGGATATTTTAATTTCGTCCGTGTTACTATGATTATCCATAGTTCAATGCTGAATGCCGATTTATCACTATGAGCTAAAATTTTATTGCACTTCCTAGTTGTTAACGACTGTTGTCTTTCTCTCTGTGCCATAAGCCACTGCGAGGGTTCGGCGCTAGATTCTCTGGCCTGCGATTGCGACGCGAATTCTCTCTGACTTGCGAGACGATCCGAATTTTTAGAAGATTCTTCAATTAAACGTATTTTCGTTAGTCTCGATTTTTTTTCTATGCATATTGTTTGGAAGTTTTTTTTTTCAAATCAGAGAAAATAGAAATAAACAGTGAACATGCTTTGCTATTGCTGGATATAATAGTGTAAATAATAATAATAATAATATTTTTTTTGTACAAGAAAACCAAATTATTATTCATATCACCAAGGTTACCCATGAATAAACAAAAAATAAATAAATAAACAATTACCAAAAAATACCTAAAAACCTAATTATTGTAATTTTCGTAGTGATCCCTATTTGTTTTTTTTTTTCTAGTAATAAATATATTCTAAGTTACTCAGAAATAATTTAATATTTTAATGTTGAAAGGATTTTTTAAATCGACCCAGTAGGTTTTGAGTTTATTCGTTGTAAATATACAAATCTTTCCTCTTTATAATATTAGTATAAATATATATATATTTCATAGATATCATAAGAATTTGCCCATGACACAAACCAGTTAACTAATAAACTTTGTTTTTTTAGGTGTATATTACCAAAGTAACCCATGAATACAAAAAAATGATTTTATCTTCGTACCAAATGTACCTAAAACCCGGTTTTTGTAAGTGATAGTGGAGCTATCGAAAAATTTCATAGATATATTATGCCAAAAAACTTCGCGGACATGCGTCCAATCATTTCCCAAAGTTTCATCACAATCGGATGAACGGTTTAGGAAGGCACAAGAGGCATACAAACAAACATCCATATGTATATATATATATATATATAGATAAATCAAATTCTGTTAAATATTTAAGTATTATTTTCCTGTGATAACTTCATATTATAAATTTTACCGTTTTACTATAAAATATTGTTTTGTTAATTTTTTCTTTATTGCGAAATAATATACATTGTTTATATCAGGAATAACAATATGAAATTACCTTCAAAAGAAAATTTTTTTTTGTCATTTGAACAATTTAATTTAGTAGAACGTATATTTTTAGTATTATGGTTAACTTTTTTTTATTACATAGGTTTTTGCTGTCATGCAAATTGTGTGGTTTTGAATTATTATGTAATTATTTTACATTAATAGAATGTATTAGACGAGAATTATTTAGACGAACATTAATCTTTATCACTAGAGGTAGACGACTTTGTAAAAACATCTTGAACACCGTGAAGTTGGTTTACACCGTCTTTGCCATCAATGATATCATACTATACATTATCCTGAGCCGTATTTTCTAATAACTCTTTTAGAATTTTAGAATTTTCCACAACGTAAGGTGCACTACTTTTGGTTGGAAATCCGAAAATGCCAACGGTTCTAAAATTAAAATATAAAAATCTGTAACTAAATCTGTTACTTTAATAAGTTAATGGTTATGATAGTGATAGTGATAGTTTTAAATTAATTGTATGCTATTGTGTTAAGGTTGAATTAATTTTAATATTTACTTACTGTGGATTGCAAAAGGCGCCAACTAACACGATTTCAGAATCTTTAAAACCTCCAGTTAACGATAGTTGATCAATTGAGCAATGTTTATTTGCAAAAAATGCAGTTTCGTTCAATTTATAGAGAATGGACTCTGCGAAATATTCGTAAGCCCTATTATGACTGCATGTCTTCCAATCGTCTGAGAAGAAAAACAATTAGAAATCTGGTTGTTGGTGCTTATTGTTTGATCAACATTTTTTAAAATTAAATATTTTAACAACTGATGTATAATATATTCTATCAAGTATAACTATTCGAAATATTTATCATATAATACAATTATGAATGTCTAGCTACATTTTTAATCTCTTCCGGTGTTATTTACAGTATATTCGGCATAGTGATGTATTATATTTTTATGTTAAAAATTAAATTAAGCCAGTAATATAATAGTACCATTCCTAGCTCATTTATTCTAATTTAAATTTAAGGCTACATATTTCAAAAGCAATATTGTCTTATTTTCTGTTTAATTAATTTTAACTGTTTGATTTCATATAAGTATTGTTATTAATTTTTTCCATACGTATTTTTTCATTATCAATTATTTTTTATTTATTAATTATTAATGTTGTTTTTTCACATATTTTTCTTTTCTGTTCTTGACGACAGTATAAAATTGGAAAATCGAAATTTGCTTGAATAATTGTCTATGAAGATTAATAGAAGGTTTTGGTAAACATCAGGAAAAGATATCCGCCGTAATTAAATCATATCCTGGAGTCTCTTTAAGAAAGCATTTCTGAATGGTGAATTTAATGTCATTAGGTTTAAAATGTTTAACTAGGAGATATATAAGAAGTGGAGAGTCAAAATACGTTTAAACAATGTAAATAATAATGAGTGAACAAATTTCCTGCGGTGGTTGAAATGTATCATAAAAATGATTTTTAAATAAATCCGCCGAAGAAGCGTCCGAAAAAGCAAGACTACAGCCTGATTTCAATACTCGGGATTTATGGGACTTTCAATTAAAGCGATTGCTTAGCTGCTTTTCAAAGAGAACCATCATTATTAAAAACATTTGATAAATATTTTTTTTCGAAAAGAGCTTTATTTCTAGACAATGTTCTTTTAATAGAATTAATTATATTATAAGATTTATGTTTATCTAATGGTAGTCAAATTTGTTTATGAAGAGTTCTCACTCTCCACTTTTCTGCTATGAGCATTCGTATGCGAGATGGCAAGGAAATGTGGTTTACAGGCCGATGATGCATGAATTGTGAATGAATGTGCGGCTGATTCTATGTCATCAAAAGATTTTAGAATAATATTTAATTTTATCTCATTATGTCATCTCACTTTGTCATGTAATTTAATTCAATCAGAGGTATAAAAAGTTTAGATTGCTTCAGGTGAGTTGGTGGATCGAAAATGAGCGTTAGGAGAACTAATAAAAGATCAGAGTTTAAATCAAAGAGGTTATTAATGGAGCAGTGTATGTTAGAGGGAATTTACGTAACGAAAATTCCAAGTATGTCTGGATTCTTACAAGGGCAGGATAGCCAATTTATTAGTGGGACCTGGAGGACCAAGTATATTAAAATTGTTAACACTTATAAAGTTACGTAGAACAAGACCACGTGAATTGTTCATACAGAAATTCCAACTCTGATGTGCGCTGCAGTCACCACCGATGATAAAACTATTAAAAGTACTAAAATAATTAGAAAAGATAGCACTAGAAATTGTATGTCTCAATGGTGAATAAATTGAAAACTACAGCTATTGCCACAAAAATATTATTTAGATTAATTAAAACAGGATCTAAAGTAATCCTGACTAAAATTTGATAGAGGTTAGAATATTAATGTAGATTTAATAAATATGGAAACACCACTATGTGCGGTATTCTCTGGATGGTTATCTTTTAGTAGTTTATAACCTGTGATGTGCATGTGTAAGAATTGGGTAAAATGCGTTTCCATTATAAGAGCATTGCCAATACGTTTGCCAATTATTTTTATTAAATATACGGGATAAACCCTTTTAAACATAATATAAACATGCGTTATACATAATGTATATTAATAGTTAGACAGTTATTACATAAAAAGAATCAGAAGAAACGAAGGGTCAACATAGGCATTCGTCATCATATGTCCGATGAGTTCACTTTTAAGAAAGGCAAAGGGGACATAAAAAGGAGTTATAGATCGGAAGGAACGTTGAGGTACTCTGAAGCAGATTAAAGAAAGTAATTCAGAAGAGTCAATCTAATCTCGTAAAAAACCATCCAATAACTTAATGATATATGTGATACATCAATGAGATACATTTACGCTCAGCTAAGGAAACCAAGCCAAGTTTCAAATCAACAGGTTCATAGTTATGGGATTCACAAGGGATATTCAATTTAAAGCATCCGTACCTCAAGAATTTTCGTTGAACCCTTTCCAGCTTCAATGAGTCTTTGTTGGCGCAAGGATCCCAAATAACGGAACCATACTCCAAAATAGGGCGTACAAGTGCAAAATATAGCATCTTAAAGGATAAGCCTAACCGAAAGTATCTACATAATCTTAAGGCAAACTCCAGAGTATTGAAAGTCGTACAACAAATGTATAACAAATATATTTAGTATGGTTTCGAGTTCATTAGCATGATTTTTTAGTCGTTGAACAGTAAAACTGAAAGAGATTCATTTATGTAAGTATTGTTAGTATTTTTTTTTCTATTTAGAAGACAAGATAATACTTTGGTGAGATATAAAATTCGTTAGAGGAGCTGGAATGGTGTATTTTACTAGATTGGTGCATGATCCAATTATCATTAGATGCGTTGAAAGTAGTGTCATTTCTTTCATGTTTATTTATATTAACGATTATTAACGGGGAGACCTTATTATTTTTCTTACTATCATTGTTAGACATTATGATATAATGACGGCCTTAGATTATTATTAATTAACGACTGTTAGGTTAGGTTAGCTTATTATGCAATAACAAAACCACCGTAGGCGGTCTCCAATCGGAAACGTTGTATAGATGAAAGCACACGATTGTCAGTTGTAGAAATAAGTATTGAAATGCGTACTTACGACGGGTAATAAGAAGATTGATGAAAACAACACATAATCTAATCGCAAATTAAGATTAAGCAACATGAACGGTAGTGAAAACATAGATTGGGAAAACTGCGTATATACAAAATGTCTGAACCGGGCGACGACTATAAATATCAATTTTCCTGTCCCATATTAAATTATTAGCTAGTTAAACTTTTGAACAGTTTTTACATTGATTAAGTTAAGACATAGAAAAACTAGATAATTAAAATAATAATAAAATTTAACAGTACAGTAATATTTCGTTTACGTTAGTTTATAATATTATTCATTTAAGTAGATAGGTACGTCATATAATATTGTATTATATACGTGAAGATACTGTTTATTGTGAAAAGTTTGTAAACAGTACCTTTTAAATGCTGAAAAGGTATAATAATTGTCTTCTTATTTTATAAAACAAAAGTTAATAATAATATTTCGAAAAAATACACACGCGTGTTATTTGGACAACCTGGTTGGTTGATTCCACCGTTGGCATAAAAATCAACAGATCCGGCGGGCATTAGTTGTCCGAAAAATCCGCAATTCGTATGGATGATATCTACAAAATCCGCGCTTTCCTTATCCAGAAAATTAAAAATTAACTCAAAATTACGTAGCGCTGGATCTAAACCTGTCATTAAATAGATACCCTGTATGAGTTATTTAAAATATAATCGATTTTGAATTTGTAATACGTGAAAAAATTGTAATACAGATAGCTACACGATTTGAACGATTAAAAAAAACATAATGCATTACTAAATACTCACCCGTAGCTCTTTGGAAAGTGATTTTCATATCTTTTAATAATTTAGCTGTATAACCGACTATTTGAGCTCCTACACAGAATCCGATGGCGTGGACATAAGTGAATTGTGTCTTTTTTACGTCCAAAATATTCGATAAAAGCTGTGCAATGCAATTTGCGATGGGTACCACATTTTTGACGGTTTTTTCATAACATTCTATGATAGGTTTAAGATCGTAATAGTTTACCGATATTATGTTATACTCCAGACCCTGTTCAAAATAAGCTAAAATACATTTTATTTTTATATTATTTAATTATTTTTTCTATTCTTGTCATAGAAAAAATAAAAGGATGGTTGGAAATTGGATTTTGAAAAGAAATAAAGGTACACAACTAGGCAGTAGTTTGTTGGCATACTATGGCAACTATGAAATTTAAGACTATATACAAATTGCTATTCAATAGATTTAATAATATAGTACTGAAAGTATTTACAGGTTAATTTAAAATAGAAGAAAACGAAGTAGATACATGATTATATAGAAATAAGAACAGCTAACATGTGGATCTTTAAAAGTAGACCGATTTGAACCTAAAAAAGGTGAGTATTTAAATATCTTAGCACAATAATAACTGAAAAAATTAATTATCCAACAAATATTAATACAATTTTTTGGAAAAAGTAAACATTATCCGAGATTAGGTTTGTCTTATCAACGATTGAACACCTTATATACAATATTTACTCGTTACGTGTTTCGTTCAATATTATTAAAACGGGTTATCAGTTAACATTTAACTAATTCTATTTGGAACTTTATTAATAATTATTAAGCTAATTAAGTGCTACATTCTTTACTTTTTTCAGAATTTTCAATATATAGAAAAATAACCCTCTCTTATTTTTTTATTTTTTTATTACCTGCACAATTTCGGAACATAACATACAACAAACGGACTTAATGAGATCTGAAGAGTTTAGACTAGTAAATAATAACATATTACAGAGAACTACAGATAACGTTTGAAAAAAATTATTTTATAAAGCATCAAAAACGGAAGATTGTGACTGCTAGACATGCATGGAGAAACTAAAATCTACTACTACGGGAAGTGCTGAAATAGAACTCAATAAAAAAAAAAACCTCTAGAATGCCCGAGTATAAAGTAGAAAGATGTATTAAAAATTAATGCAGAAGCTTTACTTTGAGAGTTTAGCCGAATTAAAATACTTTTTCGACGGATAGAGATAGTCATGGGAACCAAATAAATCTAAATAATAATAATAATAATAAGAAGAAATAAGCAATATTAAAATTTACATTGATTTCAATATTCGATACTGTCATGAGTATCAAAGTCTCGAATCGCTAATTTCTACTATTATAATACATTTTACATGCTACTTCTGAGTATAATTGATTGGAAATATTCTATTAGTTAATATTATAGAACTTAAAACAGTACTTGCATAACTTAGTGTTCGTCTACTCACCATTTCTAATTGACGTATTAAAATCATCATTATACGATCCTCCTATTCCGTGTATCATTATTTTCAAATGTTCGGTTTCTGAAAACTGTATCTCTTTAAAGTCTGTTTCTTTCGATATCTTAATGGGATTTTCTTTATTAAGCCTGTAAAAGTTTACAAAAATAATAGAAACACTATCACCGAGCCAAAAAAATCGAATATAAAGACTGACGTCACTTAGGCAAAGACGTCTATATAATATATTTGAATATTTCATAATATTTTTATAGTGAAGTAATTCTTTAATATTTTATAAAAACAGCTATACAATTAATATGATTCTTTATTTTACACATTCAAAACGCACGTTTGGCCAGCCCCTTCTACCCCCAGCCTCATTATAATTTTCAAAAACAAATTGTGCAAATATTGAGCTCTCTTCTAACTCAAACTTAAAAGTAAAATATCTCGTCAATGACATGATGGAAATCAAAAATGTCATCACTAAAATTTATTTTAACTGATTCTGCACCTAATTATTGAATTTTCAATATAGGTTATCCTTCAAAAATCATATGTGGTAGTAGTTTTTGCCCCAAAATAAGGGTGATAAATAAAAACATGCATATAAAATTGTAGAGCAGCTTGTTTCTTAAATTTCCTAGAAAACAAATTCCGGAAAAAGTTAATACTTTCCGATATAATGAGTGTGCCCTTTTCAATGAATCACTTAATACATTAAATTTCCCCTCTATCTTTCCAATTCGCACCCAACAGTGGCCCACCCATAGTGCGAAGTATGTCCATTTTTTTTAAATATGGCATTTATAAGTTAAACTAAGTAAATTTTAGATGAGACAGAACCTCACTTACCATACATAGTGAGCCTCGACTAGTTATTTTTATATAATATTTTTAAAATAGCACACATTCTACTATGAGATAATCAAATTTTTAGACACCACGGTTTTACCTAGCCATTCCTGAGGTTGAACCAGTTTCGGCTTTCCTCAAACATATTTAAATAGTACGTTTATACGCATAAACTAACCTAACCCACTGCAAAAGGTGGCAATTATAATATAAATATGACCATATTATGGGCAACATACATAGAACACTAAATTATTATTTGACGACTTAACATACATTGTGTACAAATAAAACTGAACATGGGTATCTGAGCACTGGTCATCCGCTTCAACACACAATTCTTCTGTTGTAGCCGATTGCAGAATAATCGACTCCAACGAGAGAACGACAAATAACCAAAACAAACCTAAAAAAAATCGAAAATAAAGAATCCATTATTTCCAAAATATGTCCAGTTGTTTCTAATTTTTTTTTTTTTTGGTTTTTCAGTTGTTAAAAAACAAGTAAAATTTTAATTTTTTTTTTCTAATAGATCGAATAGGTAAACTATTTTTATGGAAAAGATGCACACTTAAAATTTGGAGAAAGATTTCTTGTAGAAAAATAAAATCAAAAATAATGAAACTTTTACTGTCGTAAATTTGTCTGTTTTTTTTTATATTCATGTTTCTCGATTTTCCCAATCATAATGAAAACTACAAGGAAAAATCAAAAAATGACATTCCCAATGCACAAACAGATCTAAAATGCTAAAAAAAAACAAACAAAAAACAATTTTCCGTTAATTTAAGTTTTGTTAACTTATTATAAACCGATAAAATTAGATCCCTCAGAAAAATTTAATCGTGGTTGTTCATTACATTTTCAGTATAAAACACCCATTCATCTACGTTAAGCTCGCACTATAAACATAGCATAACTTTAAGACTCCACTTCAACAAATTCTACTCAGATTTGTTCAACATTTTTAGACAATTTTTAGAATTTGTTAGAAAAAATTTTAAAAGTTATTTAACTTTAAAAACTGTTAGTGCTTAGTACATATCCACTGTCCAATGCTGCATATGAGATAAACATTTAAAAAAAGTATCAAATCATATCTATGGGATTATGATCGATATTATTAGACAATTGTTAGAATTTGTTAGATACAAATTTCAGAAATATTTCACTTTATATATACGGTCATCCTATTAGTGAAACAAAATATTATTTAGTCTTTATTATAGATATTATTTTTACTAGTGTTAAGGATATGTAATTATTTCAATAATGGTAGGTGCTAATTTATTTATTCAAACAATTAGTTTTCACGGCTATATTACATTTGATTTTACTTTTGAAACATACGCAACGGAATTCAACCAAACATCTACCTAGGGTTCATACAATAATTTGGTTATTTCCTACCTTTTTTTTAATAATAAAAGGTTTCAAAATATCTAATTTTCGCGTCGAATTCCATTTAATAAACACACTTGTCTTTACGTTACTACACTTGTTTACTTGACTACTTATACTATACGTCATGTAACCATAGAATTGTATAATTTACTAAAATCGTGTATACCAGAATAGGTATAAATAATTCTTACCAAATATACAGGTAAAGAAATAAAATTAAAAATATTACAAATGAAACGAAATTACCTACCTATCTTAATTTAAATAATATCATACATCCCAATTTCAAATGTTTACAAAATAATATATACAAAAAGACTAAATATTTTGTTTCACCAAGTGGATAGCCATTTGATGAAAAAAATACAAGATATAAAATTTTAGTATTCATTTCGTGAAAAGAAATTGTTTATATATTTCACTAATAGGTTATTATCATATTATTAATTATTGATTACATTAATTGCAAGAATTAAAATATTTTATGTATATTTGAGTTGGTCTCTGTGGTCAGTGATCACATAAGACATAGAGATAGACCTTATACTACTTAGTATAAAGTCTATGGGTGATTACGGGCTCTCCTTGAGTGATAAGAGTGGTTTTACGGCGATATACACTAGTATACACTATACGGGTTTATGCACCACAGACTAAGATATAGTTAGGTATAAGATATACGTGATATTATCGAAATTAATCGATAATCTATGATGGATATGTTATCACAAGCGTCTTATCATTAAGATCTAGTGATCTTTAATATTTATCTAACAATTTGCATTCTTGCAATTATTTTAATCTGAATTTTATCGATTTTAAAAAACAAAATAGTATTCGTTTTTAGTCATGAAACCTTTAAAAATAATTAATTATTTCCACACATCAGTTTCTACTGATGAACTTAATGACTATAGGCCACTGTTTCAATATCAAGATAAAATTCTGGACACGAACACAAAATACCTACTGTAATTGATCATGATATCGAGGTGTTACTCAAGTATGTTACTACTAAATAAAATTATAGCCCACCCCAAGAAAAAAACCTAAAGACACCACTGGGAACTCAATGCTTTGTGAACTTATTTGAATCGAGATGGTGATTTAATGATACAAAGAAGTAGGGTTGAAATATGGTGATCAGTATGCGGTGGTTTTTAGAAATAAACCAGAAAGATTCACGTTTGTATGAATATAAAAATGTTTTTTTAGATTCTGAGAAAAATGAGAAATGGATTGGTTTTACAATGAATATTTTTTATATTTTATTGGGTACAAAATTTCTCAGATAATCTTTCTCCGATTTTCAAGTGTAACATCTTTTCTGAAAGGAAAAAATCTAGGCGTTTCTTTTAGACATTTTTCAATTTTCTAAGCAATGTTTATAATAATTGGGAAAAGCCGGTAATAAATGCAGGATAAATGGGAAAATTTACGAAAATAATGCCTATTACCTATTAATTACTTATTTTTAAATTAAACTTTTGTTGCGATTCAGTTAAAAATATTCGCAGAGACATTAAATTTGGACAGGAACTTATATTTTCCTTTTATATACGTAGTAAAACATTCAAAATATTTTATCTATATTTGAACTATTCGTAGACATTTTATTTTTGTGAGTTTTTTTTACACAATTTTTATTTGATAGGTGGATAAAATTGTTAAGACACTTCAAAAGTGCTTGGAAATTTAATAAGAGGTTTATTATAAGTTGTACTTTATGGTTAACAAGATAAATTTGAGTTTAATGTTTTTTTAATAAGAATTTTAATATTAAATTTTGACGAAAATCGGAAATATCTTCTTTATATCTTACCTTCCCAGTTTCTCATCTACAACAGTGGCCCACCCGTCATATGTAGTATGGTCGACTTTTTTTGTTTTTATCTATACCTAGGTACTATTCATAGTACCTCAATGATTATAGACGAAACAAATATCTTGACTAAACTAATATTTGTATTATTACTACATTGGTACATTAATTGACTAACTATCAAGTAGCTTTAAACCTAGTTTACATGATGATTCACTGAGCGTGCTCACTCAATTTTTTTTTTTTTTTTAATTTTGTATAATGAATATAAATTCTGATTTTTGGAATTTTTAAGTATAGTTAAGGCCGCTATTTTCAAATACTTATATATATCACAACATTTAAGGAGTACATTTTGGAGTTAAAATGTTTGATTTAAATGAACCTGTTAACGAGATATTCCACTTTTAAGTTTAAGGAGGGCGAGAGTAATGAAGTATTATTTATGTGAACGGCACGTTGTGTTGCGTGGCATTTCATTAGTGTTCCACTAATCACCTCTTACCCAAGCTAAACTTAAAAATGAAATATCTCGTCAACGGGTTGACGGAAATCAAACATTTTAACACCAACATTTATTTAAAGTAACACTTCGTCTATTTATGCAATTTTCAATAAAGGTTCTCATTTGAAAAACCAAAATACTAAATACTCCTTAAATGTTTTGAAACATTTAAGTATTCAAAAATATCGACTTTAACCACACTTAAAAATTCTGAAAATCTGTATTTGAATGTACACAAATTTAACCAAAAAAATGGCGTGAACATGATGAATGAATCATCAAGTATATATTATATTATATAAGTCCAATTTTTGAAAATTCATTATTGTTATATGTATATAATTATACGAAAATTAAATAAGTAATCAATAATAAAACCACATTGCGCGTGTTTTCTATACTGATTATTTATATAAATTAGGTACCTATTCTTATAATAATACTATATTTCAATGGATTAATAACATTTTTTTCAGTTTGTTCAAAAGAACTTTACTTGCATAATACTTGCAGAAATTTTACTTACATAATATGATTTTTTTCATATGAATTTATATACGTTATCACGTTACAAAATTGTTTATACAAATAACATGGTTGTAACTTGGTAGGTAGATAACTCTTACGTTTATAAAACTATATACTTTTTTTTATTACCTTTTTCCAAAACACACATAACTTTTTGATTGGTGGTTGGTTCTTAACAAATAAATAACTATAAAACTTGTCTCTGTATATTTAATTTAAATTAACAGAAGAATAATTCCGGTTCTAAATCATAATAACTTTTATAGATAGCTCGCCATTGAAGATATGATGTATACGATAATCGAGAAAGACGAATGTGTATAGTTTATTATAATTTATACTTTATACGCAGTTTATACAGGTGAATGCTCAACTGCAACAATAGTCACCTGTACAAATGATAAGTCGACTTACCTAGATAGTAAATTAGTATAAAATATTCTATTGTTTTGTAACCCGTATACAGCTTAAATACGTTTATTTTTATTTTTATTATTTTTTTTTAAATATATTTTTATTTCGAACGTTATTATTATTATAACAGTAATTATATTTTTTATTTGGCCTTGTCACTAAATGTTGTAATTATTTTTTCTTCATTTTGTTTATTTTTATTTTAAACTGTAATTGTCAGGCTTAATATTTTTAACTAAAAGCTCTTAATATAAAATAAAAAAACAGTATTCTAGTTGAATAAACTAATCTGTATAATATAAATACTATTTTAAAGCGGAAAAACAAATTTGCAATATTCGCATTAGCATTTTACTAGTTCCTATTTACCTTATCAAATTATCAAATTCATAATATAATATTCCGCGTGATTCGATTTTTCTAATAGCTCTTTGGGCAACCATAATAACAAACAGAAGAAATTATTTTTTAAATAAACTAATAGTATGTTTATAGGTATTATAAAGAGAAAATATATTTTAATATATTTTAAATCAGTCAAAATTAGTAAAATTAGTATTTTTTACACGAGTTTTTTACCACTGAATGATAATCATACAAATTTTACTGCGTCTAGAAAAAAGTAATATAAGTTCTCTGTCAAAATGTTAAATGTCTATAAATATTTTCAACTAAATCACAATACAAAAAAAAAAATTGAAAATAATAAAATAATAATTTTAATAAATGTTTCTCTTTTTTTTTTTTTACGTATTTTTCCGTTTTGTTCATTTATTAAAATAACTACAGAGAAAATCAAAAAACGACTTTCTTAGGTATCAACAAGAGATATTTTCTTTAATAATATTTGTTTAATATTGTTCCAATTTTCCCGTTTTTTCTACAATTTTTCTGGTTTTTCACATTTGCTAGAAAACTCTTGGGAAAATCGAAAAATTGCCTTCCCAGTCAGATTTCCTTTTATAAAATGTGCTATAATCGTAAATCTAAAGTAATATTACTAGTAGAAAAGCTGTTCACAGGAAAATAAAAAAATAAATAAACATATATGTAAAACCATAAGCTTCTTCGCTCCCCTTAGAATCTAAAATATATATACAGAGTGATTTCATTAAGCGTGCTCACCCCATTTTTCTGGTTAGATTATGCATATATTAAATTCTGATTTTTAGAATTTCTATGTGTAGTTAATGCCGATATTTTCGAATACTTAAATTTTTCACAATAAGATGTATCCTGTGGCAATACCAACTTTGGTTTTTCAATTAGGAACCTATATATTGAAAATTCCATAAATAAGATGGAGTATAAGTTTAAATGAATTTTGGTGTTGAAAATTGTATAGAACGTCAAGGCGTGTGACGTTTTAATATGACTAAAAAATCAGATAAATGTTTAATTGTTATCAATGTTATTATTATTAGTATTATTATTATTATTTCTTTATTTTAACACAACGTTTGTCTGAGTCATGATGTGCATTTATTGCAAGTAGTCAACCTATTGATACAATTTTTATAGTCAATAAGGATGTTTTTCTTTACAATACACATATGAAGTAACTATACTAATTAGTATACACCTACTATATAAAAAAAAATTAGATAATAGCTCAGAAAATTTACACGGTAGAAGGCTTTTTAATTAATTACGTTTATAAATTTGTATTTATAGTTCATGAGTTATGTTTTAAAGTCGTATGATATTATTAAACTACTCACCATAAAATAGTCTACTGAAAATTAAATCATGATATAATATTAATGTATAATATATTATAATTTGTATTTTTTTTTTACACGTCATCATTTTAAATAAATATAAACATGAGTGTAATTTATAATATGACCCAAATTGATTTTTTCTCTTTTTTTTATAGAACCCTCGACGATATATGGGTCGTTAGTGGCATACATACATACATGCATTATATTTATTAAAGGACTGTAATTAGATTCTTTTTTTCAAGTTGTTATTATATTGGAGACATATTGCAATTGGTTGATGGAAATGTATTATAAGTTTATAATCGAATTCTTTTTTTAAGTCCATAGAGATTCCATCGAATTATATTTTTAGTTTAAGAGGGTATCCCTAGTGGAGATGATCATTTTAGGTCAATAACGTAATATTTATGTAGAGTTTAAAAAGGTAAATGGGAAGGCCAAAATTCCAGATTGGTTTGAAAAATATAAACCAAGTTATAACAATTTTTGAGTTCCTAAAAAAAATCATTTGTATACGAAGTATTAAACGTGAGACAGAGGAGCAGTTGAACGAACGCCTTACCAAAATTATTCATATGGAGGAGTCAAGTACAGATCTTAGTGTACTGAACTTAAATAAAGTCACATTAGGGAAAATATACACACTTGCACGAATAAATATTTACCCAATGTTGTCGCATGACTTTCCGTGATTACGTGTTACGCTTCCTGACGTAATAATACAAAACAAACATAAATTAATGAAAAATATATGTTTATAAATGATGTTTAGAACAATGCAATATGTTTTATGACTTGAATGAACTTGGATTTTCTTAAAAAATGTGTTTACATTTTTATGGATGGTACTTTTTCAAGTTGTTCTTTTCCTTTCAAGCAAAATGTTTGTAAGTAATTCACGGATACAAAACAGCTCATATGTGCCTTTGTTTTTTTTCGTTCATGTCTAGTATTTGTCATAATACGTTTAAGACTATGTTAGACTATCTCAGAGATCATTTGTGTGATTATACCCCAATTACATTTTTCAGTGACTTCAAATAAGCTATCCACACAGCAGTTTAAGATTTTTAACGCCCAGTATAAATTTGAAAGGATGTCAGTTTCACCTAGGGCAAACTTCGCTTCACAAAATACAGTCATTAGACCTGGCAAAAGCATACAAGAAACTAGGTGAAATTACAAAATACTTGAAATTTTTTTTTTTCAGACTTCTTTTTCTACGACCTAATGAAGTTAACGATTGTTTTTTTCTGGGACATTATGGTTCTTCTTCGATTAGATAATTCAAAATTGATTACATTTACAGATTATATATTTTAAATATATATAAAAGAAGATTCGAGATACCCATAATTATAATAAGTTGAATGTTCTTGGCCCATTACATGAACGACCAACGCATGCGAAAGTTTTTACTCAAAGCTTAATAACATGACTTACCACCCTCGCCCAAATATCTATATACTTCTTGAAGCCATAAATTAAGTACAAACTAATAGTTATTTGAAAATGAACTGTTCATATACTATTCGTTCTAATACGATTTCAACCGAGAAACAAAATGTTCTAAAACATCAAATTCAATTCTGTAAAGAAGGTGAAATTAATAAACTTGAATATATGAAATACATTTTTTTTTTAAATTTGGAACCTCTAAATTTTAATATTTTTAACTTTTAATAATATAAAATATAAAGATATATATTACATACAGATATACATTTAATTCCCCTCTATATCCTACCTTTCCAACTTCTCATCTACAGTCCTTCAATAGTGGCCCACCCATCGTGCGAAGTATGTCTTTCACCGCGGACATTTATACGATATAAAATTATTATATAAATGTACGATACAAAACATGACGATTTTTTTGGAAGTTAAGCTGTTTTGACTATTATACACCTCACTTGCACTAAACATTTATTACCAAGAAAGACAAATGTATAGATATGTTTAATTAATTTGTAGTTTATACAGGTGACTTATTCAATACAACAACCACCTGTGAAATAATGGGAAGTCAATTCCATTATTTCAGTACAATAAATAACAGATTTGGGTCACTTTATAAGCATATTAAATTTAGAACAACTAAAATCAAATCTATCAATACTATCTATCTAATAAATCTTTGCTTCTTTAGGTGATGACAGTACACACCATAATTTTCTTCGTAATTTACTTACGCCATTGATTCAAAAAAAGAAGAGATAATATTTTTAAGTAAACAACCTATATTGCTTTGGGATATAAAACTCAAATAAACTGAACGTATCACGTAAGTCCTATTCTAAATTTCTGTTTAATCAAAATATAATATTTATTATAATATTATTAATATATAATATTTATTTTATAATATCAAGGGCCAAATAATTAAAACCAAAAAGCAAATATTAATAAATTATAAATAATGTTATTATTATTCAAAGCCTCTAAAGACTAAGAATAAGTATTTTAGAAGTAAATTAGAGTATATAAATTATAAGTATAGATGAACAGTAAAAGGCGGGTTTTAACAATAAGTCGTAACTGGTGATGTATTATACAAAGTTTAGAGCCTTAAGTACCTACGATCTTTTTTATAAAAGTAGCATTGATGAATATGTAAAACATTGGATTAGGTATGATCGGACAAATTGAATAAAATCATCAGGTATTTTAAATGACAAAAAATAATTCCTATTAATAAAACCTAATCAGACCTAAATTTAAGTTCTACAAAGTCCCACAGTTGGGGAAGGTGTTAAAAGTTGAAACCATAAAAAAGACACATTTTTAATACTTACAACATACATACACGAAATTTCATCCCTCCGGCTTTATTTGAAGTCTGTAGAGGTGTACACTGTACAAAGCTAAAATTCTACCCCCCTCCGGTAACAACATAGTGAAATTCATAGTTAAATTTATTCAATCAAAATACCTATCATCAATTTAAATTAACCTGCGAAAAGTTATTGGTCCCGAGTTTAGGCTCATTCGGTCCAGATCGAACTTATTTCTAGAGTAAAGTATTAAATAAGTATAAAGTTACATATGTATAGAATAATTATAAATATTAGACAAAATTGTAAAAGTACAGTTAAGTTTTCATTATTTTCGGAGAAAATTCAACAAAAACGTGACTACACAAATTGTCCTATTCATTTTTATTGGTTTTTGATGATAATTAATAAAAATACAAGAAAAAAAAATAACCTCAATACTTCAATAAGACAAAATTTGATATAAAAATTCAAAAACAAACGTGCGTAAAGTTAGCCCCAGAATTTTGACTTTCGACTTTGGATCAATGCCAATATTTTGAAAATACTTTGTAACTCTAGACTTTAGCCACCATCAAAGTTCTAGTGATTTTAATATTTTTCGTATTATCTTATAAAAAGACATCCTAAGATAATGAGGAGGGGTACAGCCACCATAATTTTAATAACAGATATCTACCAAATAAAAATACGTTTAAAAACACGAAAATACCAAATACCTCTAAATAGCCTAAAAATAATTAGAATATTTTAACGATTTAACCACGTTTATATAAGACCACTAAGCATTTTTTAAAAAACTGTAGGTCTCTACAGACATTTCTAACCGAAAAATAACAAATAACCCAAATTCCATACATTGTGCCGTATTTTCTGCGTTTTTCACGGTTTTTCGTAATTATTACGGAAATTAAACGGAAAACCCTACGACTTCCTTACTCACAAACTAGATAACATTTTTTTCATAAAATATACTATTCCTGAAATTCGAACAAAGATTTCTGTTAGAAAAATCTAATCTTAACAATTAAATAATGAAGTCATTGCGCCGTAGTTTTAAAAAATATCGTCCTTTTCGTCTTTTTTGATTTTTTCCAATTATTATACAAATTACTTTAGACATAAAACAATATATATTATACAACCTAATTTTTAAAGGCACTTAAATAAAAATAGCTATCATTAAACAAATGTTCTTTATTGAATTTATATTTTCATTTTTTTTTTTATTAAGTACTTAATTCTTAAAAATAAAATACGAAACAAAAGTCTTATAGGTAAGTTTAAAACATATATTAACCAAGACCGACATTCTTTATTTATCAAAACAAAATCCAAAAATTCTATATTTTTCAAAATTGAAATTGTAATTTTAAATTGTTGAGAACCGAAACCGATGAAATCGTAAAGCTTCCTTGTTTTAAACTCGCTATTAAGTTTGAAAACATTAAATGTGAGCATAAAAATGGTTAATGAGTTGAAAGTTGAAATTTAAATTTACATAATGCACATACAAAATATCGTCCCCTGACTCAACATTTGGATCTGTAGGGATGTAAAAATGTCAAAAACACCCTACTCTCTCAACAACATTGTGAAGTTATGGTTTTGGATATTATCGACCACATATTACATCCTAAATGAATAAATATATAAATAACGATGGATTTTTACTTTCAAAATAATATTTTATTTACGTATTCATCAAACATTGATTGCTGTTTTCTTTAACAGTGACAAAATAAATGACATAAGTTTACAACGTCCTTGTGCATAAGGTGAACTGTCGTTTGTTTGAAATCCGTATACACCTTTAATGCTAATTAAATATAATGAGCAAATTAGTAAAGAATATTATTAGGGTTCAATCTTAGAATTTATACCAGTTAATATTTTTATTTATTTTTCTTTTGGTTGCTAAACGGAACAAGAAATATAAATGTATAGTTTTAAAATTAAAATAGTATGTTAGTTAAACAATGTTGTAATTGTATAATTATATAATATAGGTACATATTTACATTACACTTACATACAATTATTAAAACTTATAAGGAACTTACTTAGGATCGAGGTATTCTCCGAACAATACATTATTTCTGAATAAATAAGTTCTAAAACCTCCCAATAATGATAATTTTTGTGTAGAGCTCGATGTCTTTGCATAAAATCCAGACATGTTCGTGCCGTAATAAATCGACTCAGCGTAATATTTATATGATCTTTCGTGGCTACAAACTATCCAATTATCTAAGAAAATGAATGTTAATTTATTCTAAAAGAACAAACATGGTTGTTTAAAATTAGATAAATTTAAATTTAGTTTTATTCATCTTATTTAGATTAAATATATTCAAAAATCATTGGGTCAGTAGATACAATGAATTATCTTTTCAGCGATAAAACAAAAGATACAAATTATTTTAAATACCTACCTATAGTAGTTTACAATACTATAATAAAAGTGCCTAACAGCAAATATATAAATATTATAATACAATTTAAATTGTATAAAAGAAAAATCTTATCCAAAATATTTTTCAGCGATTTTTATAACATTTAAATAAATACCTGTTAAAAAATTAGAGGTACTAAATCAAGTGTAAACGTATTTTTAACCCTGACCTCTGCTTTTTTAAGATGAATTAATCTTCAAGTAACGGATACTCACATTCAATAGTGTTTTGACACCCTGGTTGGCCGATTCCACCGTTAGCATAAAAATCAACAGTTCCAATGGGTAACGTGTATCCGAAAACTCCAGAATTAGTATGAATGACATCTACTTGTGTGCCACTGTGCACATCCAATTTATTTGATGCCACTTCGAAACAAGGTAATGCTGGATCTAGTCCTGATTTTCAATAATAAAATATATATAGTAAACCCATATAATTTAGACTTTCCTGGCAGAGGGAATAATAATACTTCCACAATAACAGTTTTAAAAGGCGAAAAATGAGGTTGCGTCAGATCAACAGTCGGTGTAAAATTCTATCAAAAAGTATGATGAGTTTTAAGCAGAACTTCGGCAGAATATCTCATCACGGATGTGCGTAGGAATGAAATATGAGAGGAGATATCATGCTGTATAATATTTGTAAATAACATAACTTTGATAGGAGAAAATCTGAAATAAGTTAGTCTTGAGGAATGGAGATTAGAACTTAAAATAAAAGGACTTAGAATAAGTAGGAGTAAAACAGAGAATGTATTTAGAGAAACAGGACGAAATAGCTAACGAAAATAAGCGGTGATACAATAGGAGAAATTGAGAGCTTTAAGTATTTAAGATCTTTTTAAAAAAATAATAATGGCTTTCATAAGTATCTGAATCACATAAGATTAGGTGTTATTAGATATAGTGGATAAAAGTGGTTTTTTATGTGACAAGAGAATTCCAATGAAGCTTTATGTTAAATTCTACCAAAGTATGGTGAGACCTACTTTGTTGTATGGTTCAGAGTGCTGTATAGTGGCAAGAAAAATAAAACAATGAATGAGTGTAATAGAGATGAAAATGCTTAGGTGGATGATTAGAGTGATGAGAAAATATAGGATTAGGGATGAGTACATAAGAGAGAGCTTAGGCGTAGCTGTCTATAGTTTACACAGTGATATAAAATAGACTGATATAGGTCGGGTATGTCATAGAAACAGAGGAATCTGAAGCAGTATACATTTTAATTAAAAGGAATTTGGAGGAAAGAAGAGGAGAGAAAGATCGACAAGAGGGTGGTTGGATGCGATTGAGAATGATATTAGAAAAACCGATGTATACGTGTGGGAGACCGGAGTATACCGGATCAAGTAGACGTTTCAAACGAGGGTGACAAATCACAAATATAGTTGAGATGAAGGCGAAGGATAAGAAGAAGAAGATATTCATATAATTCAGACAATTAAGTGTTCACACATTAGTGCAATACATAAATCGATATCAAGATAAACATTTTGATACTTCTGAAAACAGATTGCATTCACCTGTAACTCTGTCAAGAGTTTTTTCATTTTTTCTCATCAGTTTTCCAATAAGACCGACTAATTGACCTCCTAAACTGTATCCAATCGCATGTATGTACTTGAATTGATCGTGTTCGTTCAAAATCGCGACCAACATTTGTGAAACGCATTTTCCAATGATCGGTACATTACTCACAGCCTCTTTGTAACATTCCATTGAATGTGCAAGTGGATGGTAATCGATTGTTATTATGTTATATTCTCTTTGTGAAAAGTATGCTGACAAAAATTAGTTAGACAGTTAAACAATTGGATGTTCATAATATTGAAATAAAATTATTTTTTGAAATGTTAAACAATGCAATACAATAAACAATACATTCAACCCAAATTATGTTCATATTTTATTTGAATCACCATTAAAATATTTACCGGTTCTTAATAACGTATTAAATTCATCATTTCGCGATCCATATATTCCGTGTACCAATATTTTTAAATCGTATGACTTGGCGAACTTTATGGTTTTAATCGAATTTTCTGAAAGCTCAACAGGGTCGGTTTTTGTCTGACTGCAAACATTTTATTTAATAATATGAAGTATGTGTATTTTAATCAATGTTATCTAAAATTAGGATCTTAGTTAACAGTTAATTTATATTCGTACTTAGTGTATAAAAAAAATTTTATATTTTCATTAGGACAAATGTCAGTCGCTTCAATGCACGTGTTATTGATATCTGCATTGCTATTCCGGCAGACGGCAATAACAAAAACTACTATAATTCCACCTAGAAAAACGGTTTCGTAGTATTATTTATTATAATTTATAAACCATTTATTCTATATTTTAGATTCCTGAAAAAATCGGAAGAGATTTAAATGTGTATATCTAAATAGGAATTTAATTCGATTTTTTTATCCATACACACATTTTTAAGTTGATAAAATCGTGCGAACAAAAATATCTTATAAAAATATTCTCAGTTATAAAATTTAATACATACAATCATACAAAGTTCTCCAGAAATATTTTTTGTTGTACTAACCGTGGCCTTAAAAAAAATACTATGAAGAACGGGTAAAATGTTATATAAGAAAAGTTTATTGTTTAATCTTTTAGAATCGTTTTGCATTACGAACTCGTGATAGTAATCAAATTCAAACCGTATGTCGTATTTTAAAAACAAAACCTGTCCTATTAAAGTACTTGTAAAAGAAAGTAGTGAAGTAGTTGAAGTATTAAACGTGTAGCATTACGTTTTTAATATACAATTTTATATAATAATACAATTCTTATTGTGACATAATTTAGTTAATAATTAATAATAAAACAAAAATAATAGGTCTTATAATATTAAAAATCATTTCTGTAATAATATTATTCCTTAGTATTTATATATTTTAAGTATAATGTAACTAAATATATTCTTACCTATTAATTTATCATAATTCATAGGTAAGTATGTTATCGTTTACCTTTTTGCAAAATAAACATAATTTTATTTCTCTGTCGAATCCGTAAAATAAATTTGCTGGTAATGCTATAATTATTATACACGAAATACTTCGTTAAACAGTCGATACAATCATTTTCAAACTGTAATTTAATTGTATCATTATTAATCATTAATCGATTTGTTGAGCCTTATAGAAATTCACGAAAATAATATGTTTCGCTTGTGGTAATATATATATATGTGTATATAAAAAATGAGATTTCCCAACAGTTTACACAGGTGATTACTGCCTAAATAACATTAAAAAAAAAAAAAAAAAACGTTACGAAGTACGTATATATTCATAATGTTATAACTTAAATATGTCCATCATTATGCAAAAAATATTTACATAAGATTTTTAATTTTAAATTAATTCTGTGTAAATTACTATTTTAGATTGTGAGTTGAGTAAATGAGGAATTATTGGTTTTATTTAACAAACTTTTTATTATATTGCTCCAAACAAAAACTTTATAGGACCTTTCTTGTGTCAGTTTTCGATTTTCTTTATGGTTTTCTTAATAAATAAGAAAAATTGGCAATTTGTTTAACAATACATCTATTAATTTCTAATTTACCTTAACAGCATGGAATAAAATACAACTAATAACATTCTGCTCTAAATCGAATTTCTAATATAAACTAAATCACTCTTTACATCCTCTCTTCCAACTTCCATCCGTTAATATGTCATACCCATCAGTAGTATAAGCCTTCGATTTTTATTTTTATTTGAAAAACATTTGGTTTGTATTCTTTACCAATCTTATATAATACTAACTGAACCTCTCAGCGTTGCCCGTGCTAAAAAAAGTAACAGAGTAATTACCATTATATGTTATTACTACAGGTACCCACACAGCACGGGAATCGCACTACAATAATTAATAATTTTTCATTCATGTTACCAAGATAAACCATAAAATAACAAAATTGTACTACTAAAAATTGTTTGTACTAAAAATAAAAACCTAAAAACCAAATTTTAAAGAATGCTATTCAATAGGGGTAGATTTAAATGGCAATAAACATTTTCCGGACAAAGCGGAACATTTTGCAAAAAACTGCGTGAAAATCGATCCAGTAGTCTATTAATGTTATACAGGTAGACAGACACTATTCAAATACCGCACGCCATGCCAAGCCAGTACGCCACCATACAAGCGCATAGTGTTCCACTACTCTCTCTCCTACAGAAAATTAAAAATCAGAATGTCTCGTCAACGGGTTGACGAAAATCAAAAATGTAAAAACCAAAAACAATTTTAACTAACACTATGGACATCTATAGAATTTTGAATATATGATTCCATTTGAATTTAAAAATTTGTCTTCCAAAAAAGATAATAAAAATAAATGTACAAATTATTTACGATTTTTATAAATCGAAAAACATTTGTATTATACATTTTTCTCTATTTAAATATGCACATGATAAAATGGCTGGAACAAAAATTTTGAATAACTCTGTATAAAGATAACTAAAGACAAGGAATAATTCATATTTGCAGAAAATAAAATAGTAAAAAAATTGTATACAAGGTGTTTCATGAAGATTTACTCATTGCAATATCTCGGAAAATATTACATTTTTTTTAAATTTTGTTTTTACAATTTGAGAAATAAGCAGCTTTAAAATATTATTACGATATTAAATTTACGATTATTTTTGTTGTCCTTATTCTTGGGGGTGAAATGACTGCCTACGTTTGATTTTCAAATTTAAACCTATATTCAAAATTCGATAAAAAAATTGAGTGCTAATTTAATTACATTGAGTCTTCAAATTTATAATTTTTGTCAACTTATTAACGACATGTATAATTTTATGATTTTCTTATTTTAATATATTTTAAAAAAAATTGTAAATATGTATAGAATATTATTTTTCTATATGATATTCATTTTGGTTCATTAATAATCTTTTTATATTCATACATAATTGTACTCAATAATTTAAAAATATAATTTCCATCGCCCTCCCACTTTCAAAGCCCACGAGCCGCCACTGTCAGATATTCAGAGTTTGTATTTAATATATAATGTGTTATAATAATAACATAAACAATTATTATTATATGTATTTATTTTTTTTGTTTATTGCATTATCAATATTTATTTTTTTTTTTTACGTCCAAATATCTCTCACGTCCATGTGGCGGTGTCCATATGTCAGCGTCCAAACGGCAGCGTCCATTTGTCTTAGACCCAATAGTGGCCCCACCCGTCTTTTTGTTAATTATTATTATTTAATTGTATTATGTATTTGTCATTTTCTGCACTTAAACGTATTAAACTCAAATGTGTTCTTCTTTAACACAAAACAATTTAAATTCATTATCATTACTAGCAACCAACTATCAAATTACAAAACAATTAACTTTTGAAAACACTATAGGTATTGATGAATTTGCAAATTAAACAAAAAACAAGAAAAAAATGCATATTGTAATTAACTTAAAAAAGATTAACGCATTAACATTACATTTTATATAGTATACTTCTTAATACATTGTTTTTTTTTTATTTTAGACTCTGATTAAAACGAAGAAGCTTATAGTTTTATAATGATGATTATTTATTAATTTATGTTTTTACGTGTCAACTTTGCTACCAGATTTACAAGTGTAGCACATTTTTTTTTTTTTCGATTATTAAAGAAAATATATAATGCATATCATGTAATTATTTTACCATAACATGGCACATATATTGTTGACAAAGCAACGCTATCAACTGAACTTCGCTCAAAATCATTTTTCGTTAGTAATGGTTAATCGTTATTTACAAAACTATACATTAAATTCCCGTTTGTCTTCTACTTTTTTTTGCTTTTAATTCTTACTAATCTTTCTTTTTTTTCATTTAAAAAGAGCCTTAAATTAAGAAATGCTCAAAGCTTCTATTACTTTAAATCAGGCCCTACACGCCACTAGAAGTCATTGATATTCAGCACTAAAAATCTATTAATGGTGGAAAGTTAAGAAGTTAGAAAAAAATGTTGCACAAGGTTTATGTTTAAACGAGTCGTATTTTTCTGAAAATACACAATATATCATTATTATTTTTACATTATTGTTATTTTTATAAGCAAATAAACCACTAAGTTGTAGATATTTTCAAATAATAAATGAAGGTCATAAGTATTATAAATAGGTATATTTTATAAATTATGTATAAGTTAGGTTACCTACGTCATAGACGGATTATACATAGCATAATTAAATTCATAAATGCTATTTTTACATTTTATAAATTATTTATAATGTACTATTTCTGATAAACATTACTACATTTGCATTATTATAATACTCCGAATAGTCATATAATAATATATAATAGTAATTAAAATCATTGTACACCTACATGTTTAGTATACGTACGTACATAGATATTATAGTGACGTAATTGAATTGCTACTATTTTCTGTTCAATGAAAATATTAATGATATCAATTGACATTTTCCTTAGGCGTGCGGTGAACTCACGTTTGTTAGAAATCCGTACACTCCTTTTTTGGTAAACATTTTAACAATAAAATAAAAATTATAACTGCAATATTTTATTTCTACAATTTATCAGTGTAATATTATTATTTATTTGTGTTTATAATATATTCATTATTATTCCTACGTACCTATTATTATTCCTAAAACTTTAAGTGTTTCGCCATTATCTAGATGAAATAAATATATATTATTAGCTTTAATTTCATTTAGACAAAAATCAGTTCACTGATTATTTATATAATTAATTAATTTTTTTAGTTTTTGATTTTCGATATTGGATATTCGATTTTTGATACTCAGTAAATGTCGAGGTAGTTAATTGTTTATTATTTTATTTGCAACTAATTAATGCTCAATTTTGAATTTATTTATTTTTTCTTATTTTAATTTAATTTATTGAATAATATTGGCGCATAGAAAAATGTTTATGTTTGATTTAAAAAATTACAGACTTGTTTCAATGATCAATAAATAAATAGATGGCTTTATGAGATTAGATCAATTTAAATTAGGTTAAGAGTTACATAAATAAACAATAAATACTTAAATAAATCATTACTCATAATCAAATATGTAACTCGTAGAAAAAATTATATTTTACTCTTTCAAAGGTTCTAAATTTTATGGAAGGCTTCAAAAACCCCAAAACTTAAAAAAATATCTGTTTTTAAAGTTTTATCAGATTTTGTGAACAGAATACTTATATTAAAATTTTCTAGAAGTGAACATTATCAATTTTTAAGCTTTTTATAGGCATTTGAAATTGTCAAGTTTTCATTTAATATTATTTTTATATATGTACATAAAATTGTTTGACCTATCAGAAATTAACATAAGGATTAAGTTTAAATTTTAACGGAAACCATACAAATTACCACATTTTAGATCATTACATTTAACTGAACTGCACTCAGAATCGTATTTCGTCAGCAACGATTTATCAGATCGTACAGATATAAATTAAATAACTTATAAATAAATACGACAATGTATCTGTTTGCAGTGTTTAGCAATGGCGATCCATGTTATATAGATAAGTCGTCAAAATAGAATAATTATAGTATTTCGTTTTAGAGTTCCGCCTAATACCTGCTCAATCTAGTTTAACCACATATAGGCACACGTCTAGAAAGGAATCTTTTATATGGTTTGCAGCTCGGCATATACATTAGTGTCCTTCGCGTTGATATTGGTCTACAGCAACTCACAAGTCATATTGCTATCGAACTACTTTTTTATCATGGCGAGGCGTATATGATAAAACGAAACAAAGTACGTGAAAAAAAAATGCATTTCCCATAATGTCCCATACAGTCGCTAAACAACACAGTATTAAATGAGAAAATTATCGTTAGGTTTATTTCCCTATTAGGTGGAAGGTCACACAAACCGATAGAGCCACGTACTAGTTTTTGTAAAGCGATTTGAATTTCATAAGAATCAAAA